TTCCTGCGTTTAGATGAAGCTAATCTTTATTACAAAATCCAAACTGATCCTTTAAACACAGCTTCTTTCACTTCCATGACACTGTATGTATCATAACAATTCATGTATTTAAAATAAAATCACACTGCTCTATATAGAACTATAAACCAGTTAAATTAAATAGAGTAGATATATATCAGACATTCAGTATATACTGCAAGTAAAATCCAACATTATGTGTGTCAGTCGGGGGATGAGCAAAAGAGGAAGTTAGGTGACCTAGAATAAAGTCCAAACTCAGGACTTTTACCCAGGAGACAGTGTACGAAACCATCTCAAGCTTGACTTATTGCGTTTTAAGTTGAATAGTGTTACTGACTTACATAATGTATTTTTTTTAACCCAAACCACAATCTCTTCCTAAACCTAACTAAGTTGTTTTGTTGCCTAAACTTAACCAAACTGCGACTGACAACGTGTTTAACGTCATGTGACCTACGGAGCGTACTTAAGGTCCGGTACACCTGTAGCTGGGCTGGTACTTTCATATATGTTGTTGAGGGAGGCTTTGACAGTCTACTTTTTTTGTTTAGGTATGATAAATAATAAAAATAATAATAGCTTTATTTGGCACTCCATACAGGTAATAAAGGGCTTTAATTAGTGGTGGACAACAAAGACTACACAAAACATATATCATAAGTGTAAAATTAAAAGAAAAATAAATTACACATTGAAAATTTTGTGTATAAATGAGAAATGAGATAAACCAGGAATACACTCTGGGTTTTTGCCTAGAACTTGGAATAGCTAGCAACGCCCTACCAGAGGATTTCAGCATCCCAACTCATGGGGGGATAAGAACTAAGAGCAAACACCGTGGTGATGTTGAGCTGCAGAATTTTGGACTAACTGTAGGTCATGAATTGATTTCTGACTGAGACAGGTTGTATTGGGAGTTCCAGGAGTCGAGGCGGGAGGAGATAAAGGCATGAATGAGTTTCTCCAAATCTGTTGCTGAAATAAAAGACTTGATCTCGGCTGTATTTCTTAAATGATAAAAACATAACTGAATAACTCTCTTTATGTGTGGTTCGTCCTAGTCAAAGACTACCCTAGATTTCTGTCCGAGGGCTTAGCATAAGTTGCTAGTTCCCCTAGCTTTGCCATGATTTGAGTTCTGTGAGCAGGATGACATGAGTACAATGACATCAGATTATTTTGATGAAGATGAAGTTGTGATATCCACTAATATGTATTTCAGCAAGGCATTTGTGAAGGGTTGCAGTGTTAAACTGGTCATCCGGTCTAATTGGGATATAGAGGTGTGTGTCATCAGCGTGAAATTGTACACTGTATTTGCGGATGATAATACCCAGGGGAAGCATATAGATGAAGAATATAATGGGACCTAGAATTGAACCCTCAGGGACACTGTAGAGCATGTTTGTAGGGAATGAAACTGTGTAGTCACGGAGAAACATCTGTTTTGATCTGAATCAGTTTTAGGCTACATCAATGATTCCTGCCCACCTTTCCAGTCTGCCAATGAGCAAGTTGTGATGGACTGTGTTGAAAGCAGCACCGAGGTTCAAAAGAACTAGAATGGAGCCTCACCAGCATCTTCAACCAACAAAAGGTCATGACAGACTCTGAGGAGAGCAGTCTCAGTGTTGGGGAGTGATCGACAGCCAGACTGGAACATTTTGAAGTTATATGTACTGACAGAAGTGACACTAAGAAAACCATAGATAAAAATGACAATTTAGAAACAGGTCTATTATTATTCAAGATGGAGAGGTTTGAAAAAACGTGTTTCATCTGTTCTCTTTTTCTACATTCAGTTCCCAATTTTAGTTCCCGTTACTAAACTGTTGACTTTCAGGAAATGTTAGCTGTCAGGTTTCCACATCCGTTCAGTGCAGCTAAAACACATCCAGCTAAATATATCAAAACAATTCTAAGACAATGCACTATTCAATGACACTGTATTAAAATAATAACTGAATTTACTGTGTAGTGTAAAAGTAACACACCATGTACTTTAATAAATAATGACTGCCAAACTGAAGGACTCCAGCTGCGTTTTTAGTTCCACACGCTCAGAAACTCAGGAGTCATGTTTGAGTCTAACCTTGCCTTGTTTCTTACAGTGAAGATCCATCAAAAAAATACTATATTTTTCATCGCTAAATAATATACAGAAGGTCGTACATGCGCATGTGTCGGCGTGGCCAATCCTGGTTGTCAGCCATAATTTCAAATCATGTCATTAATATAAACCTATTTTTACTGCTGTTTTTATTTGGGCTAAAGATCTTAGACATCAGACCTGTTGATCTTATCTGGTGAACAATGTTTGGTGATTGGCTACAGGAAGTCCCGTGCTGGAGGCTATTCTTTTAATATTAATATATTTTTTATAGCGCCTTTCAAGGGATCCAAGGATGCTTTACACATGACCACAAAGACACAACAAACAACTGAACAATAAAAAGGAGATCATTCTGGATTGTATGCTTTGGTAAAGAGGTGGGTTTTTTCAGATCTAAGTGTCGAAAGACGGAGCCTTTCAGATCTCTGTGGGGGTGGAGTTCCAGAGGGTGAGGGGCTGCCACGCTGAAGGCTCTGTCCACAGAAGTCCACAGTCTGGTGAGGTGGACAGAGACCAAGCCCTTATCGGTGGACCTCAGGTTTCCGTGACGGAGTGGAGAAGGTCCAGTAGGTACAGGGGGCAGTGGCATGGAGGGATTTATAGGGGAGGAGGAGTGAAGCGGGGTGAGGATTGGGGTGATGTGCTGCCACGGCCTTGTGTGAGTGAGAGTTCTGGACATATTGCAGCCTGTCCAGGACCTTGCTGGGTACCCGTACAGGACACCATTGCAGTAGTCGAAGCGGGAGGTGATGAAGGCGTGGATGAGAGACTCTGTCACAGAGTCTGAGAGTGAAGGTCGAAGTCTGGAGATATTTGAGGTGGTAGAAGGCAGACTTGGTAATGAGTTTGACATGTGACTGGAATGAGATGGTGAAGTTCAAAATGACACCAAGGTTGCAGACTTCCTGGGATGGGGAGATGGAGCAACCACCCACTATGAGTAGATCACCTACCCTCAGGATTACTTTCACTTTGCTGTTTTAGGTTTTCCACAATTACAATTGTGTTGTTTTATGAGTTATAGTTTGAGTATAAATCTATTATGGCTGTGTGTATGTGGACTGCAAACTTGCTTACTCACAGTTGGGGGATAATTTCCGCCGCCTGGAGTCAGATCTCCAAAAAAGGGATAAGCTGATGGACGGCTTTGTCTCTGTGCTGCTGCAGAGGTCTCCCACTCTCGCTGTCCAATCAGCCTGATCACCCACCTCCCTGATGTCTCCAGTGGTCTCAGATTCAAAGGCCGCCTCCAGGCCACAAGATTTGTTTGGGGTTTCTCCACAATTCTCTCTAACCGCTACAAGATCCTACTGGATAGGGCTCTGGTCCATTCTGGCGATGCCCCTGAAGTCTCAACTCCTCCGGGCTCCAACCCCTTCCTGCTGCTCCTCCTCACTGATGGAGGCTAAAACCAACAGGCACCAACGTCGGTCGCCAGGTGCTTCTCCTAAGGTGTTACTCACAGCGCAGCCTTACTGGCTACCGTTACACTCAGCGCCCTAAAACTCTCTCCCATCCGGGTCCTGGCACCAATGTAACTGTCTGTCCTGAGTACGTACCTCACGGTCCTGACTTGAACCGGCGACCTCAGGTACACGAGGGGGACATGCTAACGATAAACACTGAAGGAATCCCAACCTGGAGAAGCTGACTGCAGCAAAGGCAATTGTGGTAAAGGCATGAACTCCCATAATCCCATGCTTCTTCCCAACACTACGTACAAGAGTTTGTGCCCAGGGGCCGCTGTATTTTTAATCCGTGCTAGAGTACAAGTACCTCAAAAATCTACAGTAGCCTACAGTACTTGAGAAATTGCATCACTTAAAGGTTCATTGTTTTAGATTTGAGGGCCTCTATTTGCAAAATATAGCGATAACATTCACAAGCATGTTTTCATTAGTGTATAATCACCTAAAAATAAGAATCACTTCATTTTCGTTGCCCTAAAATGACAGCTGGCCGCCTCGAGGCGTGATTTGGGCTGCTGCGAGACATCTCCAACAGCGGTTTGCATGACTGAGGTTATACTAGAGGCCAAAAAAGATACAGGCTTTAAAGGGCGCAGCTTTGGTTTCAGAGATCAGAGACATAATGAAGAAATATAATAAACACAGGTGTAGATGTGAGATCTATGGACGCCTACCTGAACCGCAGGGTGGTGTGGAGTTTCCTGGCCCACACAGGAAGCCGGTGGAGATCCAGTCGTCCATCTCCCAATTAGTCAATTGTCTAAATAGGTGACAGGGGAGGAGGAGGGCCTGAGGACGAGTGGGGACACGCTTCACCATCATAAACGTAATCTGGTGTCACATCACAGCCGTCCTCTTGAGTGAAGATGCACAGTGCTGACTCTGGGTCTGCCTACTGTGACGGCCCTCTGTGTGGTTGTGCCATGTTCGCAGGTTTGTGTAACAGATAGGCGGGGCCGTCCTCTTGGGCTGACGGGGAGCACCTGGGCCCAGAGCACCCGATCCGTATTAAAGCTGCCACCATCGGTCTCTCAGAGAGACGATCTCCATGTGCTTTGTTTGCTTCCTTTATCATTTCTTAAATAAACCCCTTAGTTCAAGTGCGTGTTTTGGTGTCTCTCCCTTTATGTGCAATATGCAACCTTATTTTAGAAGCGTGGCTTCGATATCTGAATTGCATTAGTGCTTCCTGACTTTTTTTTTGCTTTGTGTCAGAGCACACTGAGGGACAGTTAAAAGGACAGACAGACTGGTGGTTTTAGTTTTGTCCAACTTAAAATAGATTGGCACGATGCTGAGTGAGGTTCACTCTGTTGTGGGAGCAGACCACAAACAGTTCAGGTAGTTAAAAGAAGACTGTCTTTGGATATCAGACTTCAAGTAAGAAACAAAAGAAATAAGAGGAAGATTCTTTATTTCGTAGAAACATTCGTGCAAAGGTTCATAAAAACGCGGTTTTGGAAGAAGTCTGTTTGTGTGGAGTTCACAGAGCCGTAGTGTCTCCGTGGTCTCTGTTCCAGCGGACGTAAAGCTCCAGAGTCTGCAGACAGACGCTCCTCTTGATCTTATTCAGAGACTCCTCAAAGTCTCTGAAGCAAATGTTTCGGACCTGTGCAGAAGACAGAAGCACGGGAAACGGAAATATTTACTCCGTATTTTCAGGTGCTGCTGCACACTTTCCATTCACAACTTTTAACTCCACCACATTATTTGATGCACCGCTAACTTTAACTAAATCATTTAAAGTTAGCGTTACATTTTTAGTCAACAGGAAATTAATCTATTTTGTTCATTTACTTCTTTCCTTATTGACTAATTAGATACATGGTTATGACCTGACAGTGAAACTAAACTTCCTAACTTTTCATCAGTCCTCAGGTTATTTACTGCAGCTGAAATCTAAATGTGAACACAGTGTTGGGGTTGAGTTTGAGCGGTGTCTCCGCAGTAAAAACCCTCCGCACTGAAACATTAAGAGGCTTTAGGGTGACATTTAAAGTTTGGGGAGTAAGTTTATTCAATAAATGATCACATGATTACATCATCAGCTGGGGTGGAGTGAACTCACCTCGCTGGCCTCCATGTTCCTCACTTGTTCTGGACGCAGCTCTGCCGAAACACAAACAAACTTCATCTGAACAAACAGAACAACGTTCCCAGTCCTGAAATCTTTTTTCCAGGAACCCCCATTGAAGCCGGTTTTCAGAGCAGTGTGAAGCTTTCTGCTCACAGGGATCACTTTTACATCAGTCTGAACATCCGACTCATTATATTACTTTATATATGTATTATGAGTCCTTACTAGGCAAATCCCTGTTTGAACTAAACTCATTGGTCCCTGTATCATTACCGAACCGCAACCTGCACTCAAACAGGTTTACCTCTCTGGTCAACTCTTCTGGCCGCTTTCAGTTATCTGCGGCCAGTGACTGGAACGAATAACAACTCTTAGCATTTAAAGGACCTCTGTTCTCTTACCTGGTTAAATAAAGGCTAAATAAATAAATATATGACAGCAAATAAGGGAAAGCAGAGCTGGTTGCCTTAAACCATCATTAAAGGGGCATTATGGAGTTTCCAGCGGCCACTAGCGGTGCAGTTCTAAGACTGCAACCAGGCGTGTGCTCGTACGCGTGCTCGCTTGAACTCATGAGCGAGCAGAATCCGAAACACGACCACTTTCATACAGAAATCCTGCAATAAACGCAGGAACACCAGCATGCAGGCTGTGGCTTTTCACCAGACATGTTCAGGCTCTGTTACTTCAGCGTTCCTGGCTCAGAGGCAGATCAACACCGGCGCCGTAACGTTACTTCATTCAGCGCAGCGAGCCGCATATCGGCACAATCCTCCCGGAAAAAGGCAGAGTGACAGCAGCTATAGACAGACAGAGCTGGAAACTCAGGTAAACTCCCGCTGCAACGTTACAGTAACAGTTTTATCAGCTGCAGGTTGAACTAATCCGTGCTCGTTACATGATCACGGTACATTTACTGCATTTAGCCGACGTGCTACATCGTTAGCTCGCCTGCTGCTTTCAGTAACTATCTTTACTTTCAGTGAATCTTTCACCGGAGGCTCAGCAGTGTCAGCACAGCTACATGTACTGGATGATAATGAAACGGTTAGTGAGCTGGACTGAATATTATGAGGAGATTGTGTCACACTTTAGAACAGTTAGACCGCAGTGAGTAACTTTACTGTAACTAGTGTCAGTGGATGACTCTTCCTTCCTCTGGGTTGTTTTTGTTGCAGTGTTTTATGTTATGTGGGTCACGTTAGTGACGGAGAGGAGGAGAAGCTGTGTACCTGAGTATTGGTAAAATGACAATAAACATAAACTGAACGTTACGAAGCAAACAGCAGGTCCGAGCTACTGTAGCGTTAGCTGGCTGCATCACTATAGGCTAACGTTACTAAACAAATCGCTCCACATTTGCTTTTTGCTTCTTACATCCTTTCTTGCAGGCTAAATCTACAGTGCTACACAGGATAGTAACACGGGTGCCGTTAGTTGGTGAATTAAAGTGGAAAGCGATATAACTTTGCACTGGATAACATTAGTAACTGTCTAATCTTGACGGAAAGAGTTGGCGAGAGTGTAACATGGTATCCCAGTATTGAGGATCATAAATGACCAGAAACTTTCCCTCATCTTGTTTATCGTTTGTGTGGATCCAGTTAAACAAACATGACTGAAACAGAATTTAAACCAAATATATGGACTCAGGATGTAAGCACTGGACAAACACAGGAGCCACTGCTGAATAATGGAGAAACGTTCAGATACTGAGAAAAAAAAATACAATTTGTAAAAGTTATGCTTTTACAAACTGTATTTCTGTAACCCTTCTTTAACAGCTTTCAAGTTTTCTCTGGTTTGAACTTCACACAGTGCCAATTGTCCCCATATCTGAGTGGAGTTTTGTGACCAGACCAGAATGCCAATTTGAATTTGAAGACAAAGTAAGACAGCAGACAATAAAAAGAGCTGATAAAGTTTCACTTGAAGACTGTGTCTCACCTCTGATTGGTCCCAGGGAGGCATCTTTAGCCAATGAGGTGAGGTCACTGCCGGAGTATCCTTCTGTCATTCTAAACCAATCAGAAACAGAAACTCTTTTCTTAAACACAGTGTGTCTCTGCCCCTGCTGGATATAAAGTGCAGTGCGAACGCATCATTGTGCTTCATTGAAGCTCCGAGCACTGGGGATCGGGGGGGACGTCTTCCTCACACGCCACAAACAAGTTTGGAGTTCTGTGAAGACTAATAAATGAATAAGTGATGGAAGCTGACCTGGCCAGCTGGCTCAGCTCTCTGTGCGTCAGCGGGTTTCCATGTTTCCCCAACAGGTTCTTCAGCAGCTTGAAGCGAGTCTGACAAGAGAAGCAGCAGCAGCAGCGTCACGTCAGTCAGACAAACCTTTAATTTACATGTTTAAAATCTGTAACTGATGCTGAACTCACCTCCTCGTCTGGCAGAGCTACGTAAACACGCTTAGCAAAACGCCTGCAAATAAACAACAGACACAAAGCTGAGTGAAGGGCTGCCACTAACCATCATCACGACAGCATTATTTCTTCCAGCATCCTTTGCACTATGCTCCATCACACTGTGTACATGTATATGTATGAGTACATGTGTACATGTATGAGTACATGTGTACATGTATGAGTACATGTGTACATGTATATGTATGAGTACATGTGTACATGTATGAGTACCTGTATATCATATCCACCTTCAACATGTACATAATGAGAATAATAGTTTACTCCTGCATCCTTTGCACTCTGATCACTGCACTATTTGTCAATATGTCTATTGTTTTGTTCATAGTGTGTATATAAGTGTTGTCTATACTGTAGTTTGTGTCTGATTTTATTTTATTATTATTATTGTATTATGGTATTTTTAGTAAGTAAGCACATCGTGAGCAATGTACAATCCTGAGTCAAATTCCTCGTATGTGTACACATACCTGGCAATAAAGCTGATTCTGATCACTGTTGATTATTTTCTCCATTAATATATTAGTTGTTTGGTCTTTATAATGTCAGAAAACAGTGTCTGACATCCACAGCCTGAGATGACATCATCAAATCTCATGACAAAGAGGCACAAAATGACAACAAACCGGAACACCTTGAGCTCCACGAGAACTGGGTAACTCCACTTGCAGATGAAGATCATGTGAAATGATCTACAATGTACCTTCTGACACGATCATTTTGTTAAAGACAGGGAGATCTGACCTGAGAACAGCCTCGTCCAGCTCCTGAGGCCTGTTGGTGGCTCCCATCACCAAAACCCGGTCGTCCCCTCCTGACTGGACCTGGAACAAGTGTTTACGCATCAGTGTTTGCTGACGGTTCCTGCAGCTAACGCCACACCAGAAACAGGCTCAAGGCTGCATTACCCCGTCAAACTCGATGAGGAATTCGGTCTTTAGGCGTCGGCTGGCGTCGTGCTCGCCCTCCCGTCGTTCACACAGCAGACTGTCCACTTCATCTGAACACAAACAGCAGCATTAACACAACCGCCGTCGCCCGGTTTGCAGATCAAACCCCAGATTTAGAGTGAGCGTTACCGATGAAGATGATGGAGGGCTGCAGCTCTCTGGCCACAGAGAACAGAGCTCGGACCAGCTTCTCCCCTTCACCCACCTGCACAGACAGACAGACAGACAGCCGATCAGTCACCATCCATCACCTGCTCACTCCTGCTTTGATTAAGCGTAGTTTAGGTGTCAGTGAACAGTGAAAGATGGCCACGAGTGTCCCAGTGCAGCAGACAAGAGAAGTTATTTTACTCACGTATTTGGAGGTTAAGCTGGCGGCGCTGATGTTGAAGAAGGTGGCGTTGGACTCAGCAGCCACAGCTTTAGCCTGGAGTCAATAAAAGCATCTTTAATTTACAGGAAACTCAAAACCATGAATTTAAGTCTTAATACTGTGTGTGGCAGATTTTTAGGTTGTCTTACCATCAACTCTTAGAAATGTCACCAATGGATTCTATATTGTTACGTCACCTAAACTGTATTATCTTTATTCCCTGGTTCAAAGCTACGTTAACGACACACGTTAATGACCTGCGAGCTTTCATGTCATCAAGACTGCTGTATAAAGTATCCAGACTAAAACTAGTTAGAAGTAAAAGCTGCTACATTTAGATTTCAGAATGAACAGCGAAGAAAACAAACACTTGTCAAGCTCAGAATCAGGACTGAAGCTCACATTTTTAATGGCCAAATGAGCCATTTCATTTGTTTGTTGTAAACAAACAATTAATCTAATATATGTATTTATATATATTATTTTTAACCACTGAAATTAACAAGTGAGAAGGGAAATATTGCTGAAGTCAAACCCATCAGTTGGTTTCTGAGACTCACCAGCATCGTCTTGCCGTTGCCGGGTGGACCGAACAGAAGAAGTCCTCTGGCTGGAGTACGCAGTCCTGTAAACAGCTAGAGAAGAAGAAAATCTGCTGACACACCAAAACTTCCAGACACTGAAATCAGAAACTTCACCCTGCTGTTATTAAAGCAAATCAGAAAACCAAAGTTTACAAAGCTTAGTGTCAGGACTTGAACTCACCTCCGGCCTCAGCGCCGGCAGGATGACGATCTCCTGCAGCGCCTGCTTCGCCAGATTCTGACCGGCAACGTCTTCAAACCTCACAGACGATCCGCTGAAACACACGATCAACGCAACCGACAAACCAGCACAGACACACAATCAATCCCAAAGAACCAATAACTCAGCCGGTCTGATCTTCATTCAGAGTAAACTGAATCTTCTTGTGCTCTATAGACCAAACGATTATTTCATTAACCAAGAAACTAATCTGCGGGTTTATCCATAATGAAAACAATTGTTAGTCGCAGCAGTCAGTACAGACGCACAGCTGCAGGCTTCGACGCAGACTACAGTCTCCCTGCTCCACGTGTTCCACCAGAAAACAAGAAGACGACCTCTTGGTTTTCTGACTGCTGAACGCAAATGAGACCAGGACTGCAGAAGCAGAGCGATGATGCAGGAGATCCGTACCATCATAAAGCTCTGTGCAGTGTGCTGGTGTCTGTAAACCTTCAGGTGCGTCTCTCACCTGTCCACGATCTCGTTGAGGATGAGGTTGGCGAGCTTCCCGTCTACGTTCTTCAAGTTCTTCGTGTCCTTCTTCTTCAGCGGGCTCGACGTCGGGGAGCTGACTTTAACGGCGTGCCGACTTGTTCTGCCCTGCAGGAAGAGTCCGACACCTTGTGTTCATCACTGTGGACTAACCTGAGGGACGGCACCTCGGACAGTTCCTGTCACGGTCATCGCGTTTAACCTGTGAACACACCTTACTGTTACTGTGGGCGGGGGGGCGCTGCGAGCCGAGGTCTGATGGGCGATGGAGCCTCGTCGCGGAAGAACAGGACGTCTTTGGGAGGGGCTTTGGTCGGCTGGATGGTGCCGGACAAACAGAGTCTTTCTTTCTGGAGACAGCGCCACCTGCTGACCAACACGCACACATTTCATTTGTTGCTCACATGAAAAAAACTAAATCCCAATATTCTAATTACATACAGATGGTGACAAATGACAGGAAGAACCAGAACAGCTTCAGGGCTCCTCGCCAATGTAGTGCATGATGCTGTAATTTGAGACTGCTGCTGCTTCAAAAGGGACGGTTCTGAAGCAAGGATTTCTTATTTCATTAAATGAGACGTTGCCTCGTCTCCTATGCTCGCACCTCAGGAGGGAGGGACTAAAACGTGAGGGGAGGAGGCGCAAACTAAGAAATGAGAAAGGTCTACGGTGTACGTTGCCTCCTCTGAACCTCAGCAGAACGTACCTGAGCGCAGGTGGGCAGTATGGTAGGCGGGCTCAGTGTAAATGTCTGTCTGAGCCCCGGACCCCGACAGCACCTTGACTAAAACAACAAGGAAGAAGAAAAAACACATTTCACAGAAGAAAAGATCAGAAGAGGTCAACTGACAAGATCAAAAACTACCAAGAGATCCTAAAAGGCCACAAGGAGACACAACACGGCCACAAGGAGACACACCACGGCCACAAGGAGACACACCACGGCCACAAGGAGACACAACACGGCCACAAGGAGACACACCACGACCACAAGGAGACACACCACGACCACAAGGAGACACACCACGGCCACAAGGAGACACAAAGAGACACACCACGGCCACGAGGAGACACACCACGACACACCACGGCCACAAGGAGACACACCACGGCCACGAGGAGACACACCACGACACACCACGGCCACGAGGAGACACACCACGACACACCACGGCCACGAGGAGACACACCACGACACACCACGGCCACGAGGAGACACACCACGGCCACAAGGAGACACAAAGAGACACCACGGCCACGAGGAGACACACCACGGCCACGAGGAGACACACCACGGCCACGAGGAGACACACCACGGCCACGAGGAGACACAAAGAGACACACCACAGCCACAAAGAGACACACCACGACCACATGGAGACACACCACGGCCACAAGGAGACACAAAGAGACACACCACGACCACGAGGAGACACACCACGACCACATGGAGACACACCACGGCCACAAGGAGACACAACACGACCACAAGGAGACACACCACGGCCACAAGGAGACACAAAGAGACACACCACGGCCACAAGGAGACACAACACGACCACAAGGAGACACACCACGGCCACAAGGAGACACAAAGAGACACACCACGGCCACAAGGAGACACAAAGAGACACACCACGGCCACAAAGAGACACACCACGGCCACAAGGAGACACACCACGGCCACAAGGAGACACAAAGAGACACACCACGGCCACAAGGAGACACAAAGAGACACACCACGGCCACAAGGAGACACAAAGAGACACACCACGGCCACAAGGAGACACAAAGAGACACACCACGGCCACAAAGAGACACACCACGGCCACAAGGAGACACACCACGGCCACAAGGAGACACACCACGGCCACAAGGAGACACAAAGAGACACAACACGGCCACAAGGAGACACAACACGACCACAAGGAGACACAACACGACCACAAGGAGACACAACACGACCACAAGGAGACACAAAGAGACACAAAGAGACACACCACGGCCACAAAGAGACACAAAGAGACACACCACGGCCACAAAGAGACACAAAGAGACACACCACGGCCACAAGGAGACACACCACGGCCACAAGGAGACACACCACGGCCACAAGGAGACACACCACGGCCACAAGGAGACACAACAGGGCCACAAAGAGACACAAAGAGACACACCACGACCACGAGGAGACACACCACGACCACATGGAGACACACCACGACCACATGGAGACACACCACGGCCACAAGGAGACACACCACGGCCACAAGGAGACACACCACGGCCACAAAGAGACACACCACGGCCACAAAGAGACACACCACGGCCACAAAGAGACACACCACGGCCACAAGGAGACACACCACGGCCACAAGGAGACACAAAGAGACACACCACGACCACGAGGAGACACACCACGACCACATGGAGACACACCACGGCCACGAGGAGACACACCACGACCACATGGAGACACACCACGACCACATGGAGACACACCACGACCACAAGGAGACACAAAGAGACACACCACGGCCACAAAGAGACACAAAGAGACACACCACGGCCACAAAGAGACACACCACGGCCACAAAGAGACACACCACGGCCACAAGGAGACACACCACGGCCACAAGGAGACACAAAGAGACACACCACGGCCACAAGGAGACACAAAGAGACACACCACGGCCACAAGGAGACACAAAGAGACACACCACGGCCACATGGAGACACACCACGGCCACAAGGAGACACAAAGAGACACACCACGGCCACAAGGAGACACAAAGAGACACACCACGACCACATGGAGACACACCACGACACACCACGGCCACGAGGAGACACACCACGACACACCACGGCCACGAGGAGACACACCACGACACACCACGGCCACGAGGAGACACACCACGGCCACGAGGAGACACACCACGGCCACGAGGAGACACACCACGACACACCACGGCCACGAGGAGACACACCACGACACACCACGGCCACGAGGAGACACACCACGACACACCACGGCCACGAGGAGACACACCACAGCCACAAGGAGACACAAAGAGACACACCACGGCCACGAGGAGACACACCACGGCCACGAGGAGACACACCACGGCCACGAGGAGACACACCACGGCCACAAAGAGACACAAAGAGACACACCACAGCCACAAAGAGACACACCACGACCACATGGAGACACACCACGGCCACAAGGAGACACAAAGAGACACACCACGACCACGAGGAGACACACCACGACCACATGGAGACACACCACGGCCACAAGGAGACACAACACGACCACAAGGAGACACACCACGGCCACAAGGAGACACAAAGAGACACACCACGGCCACAAGGAGACACAACACGACCACAAGGAGACACACCACGGCCACAAGGAGACACAAAGAGACACACCACGGCCACAAGGAGACACAAAGAGACACACCACGGCCACAAAGAGACACACCACGGCCACAAGGAGACACACCACGGCCACAAGGAGACACACCACGGCCACAAGGAGACACACCACGGCCACAAGGAGACACAAAGAGACACACCACGGCCACAAGGAGACACAAAGAGACACACCACGGCCACAAGGAGACACAAAGAGACACACCACGGCCACAAAGAGACACACCACGGCCACAAAGAGACACACCACGGCCACAAGGAGACACACCACGGCCACAAGGAGACACACCACGGCCACAAGGAGACACAAAGAGACACAACACGGCCACAAGGAGACACAACACGACCACAAGGAGACACAACACGACCACAAGGAGACACAACACGACCACAAGGAGACACAACACGACCACAAGGAGACACAACACGACCACAAGGAGACACAAAGAGACACAAAGAGACACACCACGGCCACAAAGAGACACAAAGAGACACACCACGGCCACAAAGAGACACAAAGAGACACACCACGGCCACAAGGAGACACACCACGGCCACAAGGAGACACACCACGGCCACAAGGAGACACAACAGGGCCACAAAGAGACACAAAGAGACACACCACGACCACGAGGAGACACACCACGACCACATGGAGACACACCACGGCCACAAGGAGACACACCACGGCCACAAGGAGACACACCACGGCCACAAAGAGACACACCACGGCCACAAAGAGACACACCACGGCCACAAGGAGACACAAAGAGACACACCACGACCACGAGGAGACACACCACGACCACATGGAGACACACCACGGCCACGAGGAGACACACCACGACCACATGGAGACACACCACGACCACATGGAGACACACCACGACCACAAGGAGACACAAAGAGACACACCACGGCCACAAGGAGACACACCACGGCCACAAGGAGACACACCACGGCCACAAGGAGACACAAAGAGACACACCACGGCCACAAGGAGACACAAAGAGACACACCACGGCCACATGGAGACACACCACGGCCACAAGGAGACACAAAGAGACACACCACGGCCACAAGGAGACACAAAGAGACACACCACGGCCACAAGGAGACACAAAGAGACACACCACGGCCACAAGGAGACACACCACGGCCACAAGGAGACACACCACGGCCACAAGGAGACACAAAGAGACACACCACGGCCACAAGGAGACACAAAGAGACACACCACGGCCACATGGAGACACACCACGGCCACAAGGAGACACAAAGAGACACACCACGGCCACAAGGAGACACAAAGAGACACACCACGGCCACAAGGAGACACAAAGAGACACACCACGGCCACAAGGAGACACCACGGCCACAAGGAGACACAAAGAGACACACCACGGCCACAAGGAGACACAAAGAGACACACCACGGCCACATGGAGACACACCACGGCCACGAGGAGACACACCACGGCCACGAGGAGACACACCACGACCACAAGGAGACACAAAGAGACACACCACGACCACAAGGAGACACAAAGAGACACACCACGACCACAAAGAGACACAAAGAGACACACCACGACCACAAAGAGACACAAAGAGACACAACACGGCCACAAGGAGACACAACACGACCACAAGGAGACACAACACGACCACAAGGAGACACAAAGAGACACACCACGGCCACAAAGAGACACACCACGGCCACAAAGAGACACAAGGAGACACACCACGGCCACAAGGAGACACACCACGGCCACAAGGAGACACACCACGGCCACAAGGAGACACACCACGGCCACAAGGAGACACACCACGGCCACAAAGAGACACACCACGGCCACAAAGAGACACAAAGAGACACACCACGGCCACATGGAGACACACCACGGCCACAAGGAGACACAAAGAGGCACACCACGGCCACAAGGAGAGCCACAAGGAGACACAACACGACCACAAGGAGACACAAAGAGACACACCACGGCCACAAAGAGACACACCACGACCACAAAGAGACACACCACGGCCACAAAGAGACACACCACGGCCACAAAGAGACACACCACGGCCACAAAGAGACACACCACGGCCACAAAGAGACACACCACGGCCACAAAGAGACACACCACGGCCACAAAGAGACACACCACGGCCACAAAGAGACACAAGGAGACACACCACGACCACAAAGAGACACAACACGGCCACAAAGAGACACAAGGAGACACAACACGGCCACAAGGAGACACAAAGAGACCAGATCTGAGGACATTCAGCACCAGAGACGTAGTGAAACCACCCAAAGCTACCTAAAGACTGCAGTCGGTCTTTAGCCATGATCAGGTTGGAGGTCATCTGTTTCTGCAGACGTCTGTCACGCTCATATGTCTCTCCTGGAAGAGAGACAGAAAACACAACTTGACTAAAGCTGGACTTCATCTCCTCACAGAATCAGGAACGAACGATGATCGTCATTACAGTCGGGTCCTCTCCTGATGAACTCAAGCTGAGGATGACGTGACGTCATGACTACAGGTACAGCCAGCTGATGTGGTTTCAATAACAACAGATGCTGGGCCGCTCGGTTTCCCTTCCTGCTCAGTTTGTCCATGTCGGGCTTCGGTCTCCCTGCAGTGAATAAACTGTGGACTCACCGCTTCCTGCAATCTGGATGGCGACGCCCTTCTCCAGCTCGGTGATGCCTCGTTGGTACCAGACCACCGCCTGCTGCTTGTCACCTGATAACACATCAGCCAATTAAAGCCCTCGAAACTAAGTGTGTGTGAGAGAGAACTGAGGCTTTTATTGTGAAGAAGAAGAAGAATATAGACTTAAAGGAAAAGTTCAACATTTTGGGAAATAAGCTGCTTAACTTTCTTGCAAGATCAATACCACTTTCATGTCTGCACGGTTAATATGAAGCTGGTGGTTAGCTTAGCTTAGCATAAAGAGTGGAAACAGAGGGAAACAGCTAGCCTGTCCAAAGACAATAAACTCCACCTCCCAGCTCCTCTGAAGCTCACCGATTAAAATCTGGTTTGTTTCATCTGCACAAATAATTTGGTCAGACCAATGAATGAAACGATAACTTTAATTAGAGAGTCCGGTATCGACAGCAGGGACCGTGGCAGCTCCGCGGGTCAGGACTATGGATCTGCTGGATCCTGATACACTTCCACATCTAACTGACCTTCAGCTGCACACAGAGGCTGAAGAGTTCAGCTTAACACCTTAACCGCATCCTGCAATCCTTACTGTTAAGTTATTTTGCATTATTTCTATGCAGATTTAATGACAGAGTTTAATTTGGATACATTTAGAAATTCAAATGCATCAGTTTTCTCCTCCTGCTGCACAGTTCAGCCTTTGTGGTCACCATTTAATTAAAACCTTCACAAAGATTTGTCCAAACATGTGCTGTTAAATCAAATCTTCAGAAGGTTTTATAAAGAAAGACACGCTTCACTTTAGTCACACAGCCAAAACAACAAATCCCCATGTTTCTACATCCACTGCAATAAGACGGCTGAACTAATCTGGTTCCTTCTGGTCCAGTATGAGGATTTCCTGTTTCCCTTTGAGTTTGGACTCACTTTAACAAACTGATGACATAATACTGAAGATGATTGTTAGGTGCAGCAGCTCTCTGAGAGGGTGTCTGGCTCCAGCTGATCAATAATCAATCAGTCATCACAGAAAGAGTCATCAGCTGCAGGACACCGGCTCCCTGATGGAGTCGATTCCCTGATTTAAACCCTGCGGGGGGGTCAAAGCTGTCACGCGCTGCAAAAAATATTCTAGGCTACTTTATTACAACAAAACCAAGAACTGATACTGATCCAGAACCCTCTGTGGTCCATTCTTCACACACACATCATGCAGCTGATCAGTCTGATGCAGCAGCAAAGGGGGAAAACGCTATCACCGGATACCTTGCTCGTCCTCATCGATCCTCAGCGCCGCAGACATGAACTCGAAGGCCCGGCCGTGGTGGCTCCTGACCCGCTCGCCTGGTTCCGGGCTCCCGCCGCCGTCCCGCTGCTGCCGCTTCGCGCCGCCAGGCTCGTCGGCTCGGGGCTCGGCTCTGCCAGCGGCCGCGGTGCGCCTCCACAGCCAGCGGAGGAGCGACCGCAGCAGGGACAGCACGGCCAGCAGCGGGTAGGACACGGACCACAGCACGCTCAGCTTCCCGGCACCGTCACCGGCGGGGACTCTGTCCAGCGGAGCCGCGGAACTCCCGGTCCGCTTCCTGCCGCTTCTTCCCCAGAGACTCATTCAGGTCCATATTCAGTCCACAGCATACCGGTCCGGTTCAGCCCCGAGAGCCGCTGCAGGTCAGACTAACGCGCTGCTGTTTCACAGACCGCTTCTTCTTTGTGTTTACTGGCGGGTCACGATCCAACACGGTGCTGCCACCTGCTGGGCCGGAGTGTGTCCAGTCCGCCAAGGGCCCCCAGGTTGTCTCCATCTCATTGGGGTCTACATAAAATTATAATATCAACTATGACGGGCCCTCCAGCCTCCATCTTGTGGCCCCAGTCTTGTTTCACTCTGTGTTAATTTGTTGTAAAGTTATGTTTTATCAATTTTTTTTTTAACTCTTTTCTGTGTTTAGTGATTAAGTTAACGGAAAGCTCGTGGGACGTTGAATCAGTCCATCACAGCAGAACTAAAGCTGCAACCAACAATGATTTTTTATCACAACATGACAGTATTTTCTTTATTAATCTTTAATAAATCGATTTGATTATTCACTGAATAAAATGTCAGTAAATACTGAATGCTGTCATTTTGTCCTGAAGCGCAGGTGTTTGTTTTTCTGACCAACTGTCAAAATGCAGACGTCGTGTTTATGATCACAGAAAACTGAAAACTAGCAAATATTTGCAGTTTAGGAGCCAGAACCAGTGACCTGTCGGTGTGTTTGTTTAAAAACAGAAAGTCATCAATTAGCCTATCAGTTAATTGGTTAACCCTCACCTTTCATGTGGTGTGAGAATAATCTGAAACATTTGAACTGGGAAAATACATTTCAAGTCAGAACAACAACTCGGACAGTCTGGGAAAATGTTGGGACATGACTTTATATTATGCAGACTCGGTTTTTATTAATGCACGGATTGCATATCGTTTGCTCACATGTAATTTGTAATATGGTGGCAGGTTGATATTTATTAGCATTACCTCTGATAACACGTCAGGTATGAAATATGTTGTTTTAGGGAATGTGCTGCAGCAAACATCACCTACACACAGCACTCACACTGTTACCACTGAAAGGAGGAGCACGTGAATGCAGCATGCTCAGCTCTGCAGAACTGGTCGGTTTCTGTGTTTAATTGGGGGCCAGTAGGAGCCAGTATCACATTTTTTGCCCCGGGGCCCCTGGAGGGGGACCGGCCCTGGTTCTCAGGTTCCAGGTAGAAACACCTGCTGAACACAAACCATCGGAACCGAGAGCTTCAAATCAGCTGTTTGACGTATCGGAATCCAGCTAGAAACAGCACGTGACCCCGTGACGTGCTCGGTGATCACGTGGTGAGCCGGTCAGCTGACTGACGGCTTCCGGGTTGTCGGTCGTTGTTTACTTTGAGAGCGGATCCTTCTTTTGTTCTTGCGGCTTAAATCCAGGTAAAGTCTGATCTTAAAGCTTCACTTCGAACTACAGGCTCCGCTTTAGACGTTGTACCGAAAGTGTCCCATAAATCTGAGCACGGTCAGCTGACACTTCATTAAATGAATAACAAGAAGGCCCAGGGTTAATATCAGGCTTTGACGGGATTTATGAGGACCTGTCTGTGATTCGTGGATCTTTACAGGTGTGGCTTTAGTGAACTGGGGCCCAAACTGTGGCTCGGGGGTCTCCACAGCCTTATTTTCAACTTCAAACCTAAACTGAAAATCATGTTTGTTTTTTTATCAAACTGTAAAAAGTCTTAAATGCTGCTGGGTGGTTTAATCTTATTTATCCTCCTCATCCTGTGTGTAAAATCTGAATCTTTAAGGTAAAAAGTACAAGTACGCAGGTGGATAAAATGAAAATACTCAAGCGGAGTACATGTACCTCATAAATATACTTAGTTACTGTTGGTCTGAAGGAGGCTGCTGGTTGCTCTGGATGCAGCTGTTTCCTGTTTCCTGTTTGGACCTACATTATGAAGAGATCCATTAGCTGCAGCCCTACATTCAACCGCTACATATCCCATGAGTCTCAGCGTGTCCGGCTCTTTCATACCGCTGAATATTATTAATGCTAATGACCACTCAGATAAACCTGCTGAATTTAATGACGTCTGACCGCAGCAGATCACTGATCAGCAGACAGTCCCACAGCTGGTCCTGGGGGGGTCAGGGTGGAGGACGTTGCCAGGTCTGCGTTACTCTGGTGTCTCTCAACATTAAAAAGGTCCTCGCTGCGCCACCGGCATCAGCTCCCTGTGCAAACCTCGTTCTTTTTGAAATGACAATAAAGAACACGTAAAACCACGAAAGACAAAGTTTGATACGTCGCTCTGCAGGAAGCTTCGGGGCCACAACCAACAACAACTTGTATCGTCAGTTAATTTCTAACAGCTCATATTACAGGACCTACGATGATATTCACAGACTTTATTGAGTAAATCAGCGGCTCGGGTTGTACCCGAGTTCGAACCACGTGGTTCTGCAACTTTACAGACAGATTCTCCTGGAAGACGTTCACAGTGTCGACCTCCGCTGCTCACACCACACACAGAAAAATCAAAAACTTAGAAAAGAGAGCTGAGAGAGCGGCTTCATTATCGCCTCCACACAGCCGAACCATCGCTGCTCCAAGTGGCTGCGAATGTCGGATGTTTTCAGTCTTTATGCTAAGCTAAGCTAAGCTAGCTGGCTGTTCTGTGTTCTTTAAAGGTTCAGTGTGTGAGATTTAGCAGCATCTAGTGGTGACGGTTGTGAACTGTAACCATCAGTCCAGTCTACCACTGCCCTCTAACCTTTCAAAGAGCGCAGGACATCTACGGTGGCTGACACAGGACAAAAGGTGTCTCTTCAGAGACAGCAGAGAGAGATCAGTCAAGATATTAGGGCTGCGGTGGAAAAGTCAAAAAAATCGACTTTCCTAACCACTTTGATGTGAAGGAGAATTCATAAGGACTTGGGAAAAGACGACCGTGGGGCTCAGAGAATCCGACTGCTCTTTTCCAGGTGGCGTAATTATGGGACGGCAGATAAAATGGTTCTGCCTACAAAATAAAAGCGCAAGAAGCTTGTTTACTGTAATGCAGTATTTGGAGTTGAACTGAGCTTTTACTTTGAAAGAGCCGTCAGAGAACGTGATTCCCCTAAATGTTCTCTGCCTGGAGATACTGGGGAAATGAAAAGCGTCTGTAGGTTGATGGATGAGGATCAAACACCGAAACACAAACAGTGCAGCGCATGCCGTGACCTCAGAAACATGCGCTGCAGAATCTTTTTGTCCTGAGGTGGAATCAAACGCACAACCCTGCAGTCCTGCACCTTACCGACTGAGCTGACCAAACACCATGTTAACGAAAGTCAAAATTATGTCTAATGGTTGAAAATGTTGCTCTGATGCAAAACTTATTTGCAGACCCCTGCAGTATATTATTACTTCTTCTTCTTCTGTACGTGTTCAACACAGTGACGAGTGTCTGACTGCCTGAATTAAGTAGAACAAGAAGAACATGGTGACGAAACGCGCTCTGTAGCCTGTTTGTTTTCAGCTACTGTAGAAACATGACGATGCAACGTGGAGACGTCCATGGAAGGGGGTTCCCGCGGTTAAGTAGATATAAACGTCTCACTCTAAGTTAAAAACATAACGGTTTATTATGTAAGGTCTTTACACACCACTGAAAACATAGTTATGGATCTTATATTGCATTTCTGTCCGTAGATCCTCAGAAATATTACAGACTGGTCCTTTAAATAAACAAATGTCCCCTCGGCCAATTTGACGCAAATACTTCTAAACTGTTAGCCATGCTAACATTAGCGACAAACGACCATAAAGAGACGCTAACAGCTGAGTGGTTTATTTTCAGCAGCCATGAACGCCTCGGACAGTGACGACGACTCCTTCAACGAGAGGACGGCGTTGGTCCCGTCTGAGAATCCAACAGTGCCGTCCTACACGCCAGATCCAGACCTCAGCCCCTCAAACGGCACGCCGTCCCAAAGGGTAAAGGTCAGGTTATTATTCTTTACGTGGCAACATCTCGTGAGGCATCGTAACAAAAAACGTTTGTCCTTCTGATTATGGCGAGGAATGTTCTTGTTGGGCTGATGTATTTCCTGCTGCACTGACGCTGAATGTCGCCCTCTGTTGGTCCAGCCGGGGGTCGGCAGGAGGGGCGGTCCGGCCGCCGGGGACGGCGGCGGTGGAGGTGGCGGGGGCTCGGATCAGGAGGTGGATGCAGACGATGAGGAGCTGACGCTGAAATACGGAGCCAAGCACGTCATCATGCTGTTCATCCCCGTCACCCTGTGCATGGTGGTGGTGGTCGCCACCATCAAGTCGGTCAGCTTCTACACCGAGAAGACCGACCAGCAGCTGTAGGTCAACGCTTCAGCCGCCACACGCAGGACTCCTCCTCCCACCTTACAGCTAACCATCATGTTTGTCCCCGCAGGATTTACACGCCGTTCACGGAGAACACCTCATCCGTCGGCCGCCGGCTCCTCAACTCCGTGCTCAACACCATCATCATGATCAGCGTCATCGTGGTCATGACCATCTTCCTGGTCGTCCTCTACAAGTATCGCTGCTACAAGGTCAGGAAAAAGTTTTAAAAAATGATAATTGAGCTTTAAATATGATGGTTGTCTGTTTAAGTCCAGTTAACACGCAGCAGTTTGCTGATCATCCCTGAAGAGAAACTAAACGGGTCCCAGGACTGAACCCTGAGGAACTCCACAGGTCAGACAAAGTGACGGAGACAAATAAGTTCAGACAAGACCAATAGGAGGAAAACTATGTATTAACCCCTTGTAAACTGCTGGATGATGAATGATAGTAGCCACTACAGGGCTCCTGCTAGAGAGCACAGAGGCTGAAACTTCTTCACGGATCGTTGCAGCGAGCTAACGTGTTACAGGCAGTCACGCTGTACATGAGTAGTAATGGCAACTGTTTATCGTCTCTGACCGTTTTCAGGCAACCGCCGTAATGAAACGAAACTCTGATGTCTCGTGACAGCTCCGCTATTCCTGCGTAACTTCCGCAACTAGCGTACGTCGTTGCCGTATTCGCCGTCTATAAACAAAACATGATCCGCCCTGAATTCACAACAATGTGAAAGCTGCAACCGATATTTACTAACTGACCTAAAATAATTCCAGGGATATTTATGAAAGGATCTGCAGAGTCGGCTCGACTGATAATGTGTCCCTTTCATAACTTAAGCATTCTGTTGCCATTTGTGCAGAACACAGTCTGACCCGCAACGTCCACTGACTCCGCCTGCGTGCCGTTACGCCTGCGCCAGCCTGCCGGAGCTGATCGCAGCCATTCTTGTTAATACATGTGAATCCACCAGACGAGGCTCTCCTCTCCTCTCTGCAGAGAAAACACAGCAAGTCTGTTTTTGACGGAAGCCACGTCAAGAAAAGATCAAACCGGGCAGGAAGTCAGACAGAAAGGCAAAGAGAATCTGGTCTATTTTCAAAATAAAACCCCCTGTTCAGACTCCTGATCATAAATCAAAACAGGAGCCTTGTAACTACATAGCCTACTTAGTGATAGTAGGAGCAGAAAAAGCAAACACTGTTTACCAAATTGACAAAATGTGAAAGCAGCGAGTTTAGAAGTTGCTGACTGTGTGTAGCTGTAGTTGAACTTCCTGCTGCTAGAGGGCGCTGTCTGATGTGTTTGTGTTGTCCAGTTCATCCACGGCTGGCTCATCCTGTCCTCCCTCATGCTGCTCTTCTGGTTCAGCTTCATGTACCTGGGGTGAGTCCTGCTCTCTGCTGTGGAACTTCCCAGTATATGATATTAATATATTAATATTTCATCCCAGCAGGAAAGAAACACTCAGATTATTGTTTTTTAATTATTTATCAGCTGGGAGTTGGTGTGAAAGAGAGAAAAGATTCAGGTGCATCATGGTGGTTCATTCTTATGTTTCCCAGCGAAGTCTTTAAGACGTACAACCTGGCGGTGGACTACCCGACGGTGGGGGTGATCATCTGGAACTTCGGGGCCGTGGGGATGATCTGTATCCACTGGAAGGGCCCCCTGCAGCTGCAGCAGGCCTACCTGATCCTCATCAGCGCCCTCATGGCCCTCGTCTTCATCAAATACCTGCCCGAGTGGTCGGCCTGGGTCATCCTGGGAGCCATCTCCGTGTACGGTGAGTCGGCGCTGTGTGCTGGAGGCTTTACAGATAAGTTAACGTAGAGTTCCTCACCTGCTCGCCAGCTTTTCACCTGCAAAGAATGAATTCATAAAAATGTTAACCTGTTTGCACCTGATCTCTTTCTTAGCGCAGCCTTTTCAAACTACATGTGATATTTGTAAAACAAACTCACCTAAACAAATCTTTCTGGCGATGATGCAAAATCAGTTACTAAAACACTGCCAAAGATTTAGTTTGAACTGTGGAAGGACATTTTCCAGCTGAACAGAGATCAGAGAATATGAAATATAAGGTAACAGAAGTGTTGAGCTGTGATGTCGGCGGACGCTGGTCCGGTTCTATCAGCTGATTTTTCAGTCTGTCTTCAGGGACCTCTTCCTCCTGCTGATCCCTCCCATCATGCCTTGCTCAGGTTGTTTGTGTTGTTGCAGACCTGGTGGCCGTCCTGTCCCCTAAAGGTCCGCTCAGGATGTTGGTGGAGACGGCTCAGGAGCGCAACGAGCCCATCTTCCCCGCCCTCATCTACTCCTGTGAGTCCACTCAGCTTTTATCCAGCCAAGAGAAAAAGAATCAGGCTGTTAAAAGTGTTCAGCGTGCAGCTAAAGCTCCTCGCTTCATCTGGAAGGTTCCAACAGTGTAGATGCTCTAAGAGATCTGCGATTACACGGGCAGCATTTCAACCGCTGCACCAACATTTGCATTGATCTTATAATAAAATAAATAGAAAGTTAGTAAAAAGTATTCTTTTAACCTGCAAGTTGTTTAACCAGAGTCAGTCTGCAGCCACACTAGCTGCTCTGCACTGAGCTAAATGCTAATATCAACATGCTACATGCTCACAGTGACAATGCTAACATGCCGATATTCACAATCTTAGCATGCTAACATTAGCTAATTAGCAGTAAACACAGCTGAGGCTGATAGGAACGTCATCAGTTCTGCAGGTATTTGGTCACTGTCGGTGCCCAATCGGTAACGCCTACCAGATCCGCTCTGCACATGCAGAAAAGTCAAAGGTTACCGCAAATCTGCCTATTCAAAATGATCCGAGTAAATCTTTCAAATCAAGATAACAAAATGTTTTTTTAATCACTGGAGATGAAACTGTTCACTCTAATGTAAAGGGAATGTACTTAAGATATGAAAAACCTTATCCAACAGTACATTTTTAATTTGACAACAATCTCACAAAGGAGGCTAACCCTAGCTGCTAGCACACTGGCCATATATGCAATTGCTGACTTAGGTTTAGGCACACACCCCTGTGATGGTTAGGGTAAGGGTAGCTGTCGATGCCTTCTATACTAATGTAGCTACCTACCACAATCGACACAGTCGACCACACGATGTTACTAGACAGACTTGAAAACAGGGTGGGACTTTCTGGCACAGTACTAAACTGGTTTGAATCCTAGTTTACAGACAGGGAGTTCCCCAAGGCTCCATTCTGGGACCTCTTTTGTTTAACATTTACATGCTTCCACTGGCTCAGATTATGAAAAACAACAAAATATGTTTGCATAATTATGCAGATGACACGCAGATTTACATAACCATTTCACCAGGGGACTATGATCCCATACGGGCGCTGAGTAACTGTATTGAGCAGGTCAACGATTGGATGTGCCAGAATTTTCTTCAATTAAACAAAGATAAAACTGAAGTTATTGTTTTTGGAGCCAGGGAGGGACGATTGAAAGTCAGTGCTCGACTTCAATCTGTAATGTTAAGAACCACAAATCAAGCCAGAAATCTTGGTGTAGTCATGGACATGGACCTGAATTTGAGGAGCCACATTAAGACAATTACAAAGTCAGCCTACTATCACCTGAAGAATATATCAAGGATTAAAGGACTTATGTCTCAGCAGGACCTGGAAAAACGTATCCATGCATTTATCTTCAGTCGACTTGACTACTGTAACAGAGTCCTTACAGGCTCCCTAAGAAAACCATCAGACAGCTGCAGCTGATTCAGAACGCTGCTGCTCGAGTCCTCACTAAGACCAAAAAGGTGGATCACATCACTCCAGTTCTGAGGTCTTTACATTGGCTTCCTGTCTGTCAAAGAATTGATTTCGTTTATAAAGCACTGAACCATCCAGACCTCTCAGGTCGTCTGGGATCAGGTCTGCTTTCTGTCCCGAGAGTCAAATCTAAACAAAGAGAAGCAGCGTTCAGTTATTATGCTCCGTATATCTGGAACAAACTCCCAGATAACTGCAGGTCTGCTGAAACTAGCGCTTCCGGTCAACACAGGGCACCTCATACGGACGCTGAAGGCTACCTTTTGTACCAGATAACGTCGGTATTTGAAGCCCTGAGATGAGAACCGGCATTATTATTATTAACAGGCACATTTGTGGTAATGTTCTTTGACAGACAGGACCACTTCTGCACATGTGCAGATAGGGATCCGGCAGGCAGCACGGATTTGGTACCTACACTCACAAACAAAGTGTTGGACCCGTGAACGTCCTGATGATGGCGCTACATGAAAGGTTTTTACAGTTCATCCTGAGGGGGAACTGAAGATCTGAACCACGTTTCATCACAACTCATCCAACAGCTGCTGAGATGTTTCAGCCTGCAGCAGAGTGGAGGACAGAAAATAAAATAGGGATATTTTCAGCAAATGATCATGTTATTTGTTTGTTTGTTTGTTCGGTCAGCTGCCATGATGTGGACGGTGGGGATGGCGAGCCCAGCGGACGCTCCGCACTCTGGACACGATACAGGTCCATCAATCAGCTACTCTCTGCAAGGAATCATGGGAAATGTGGGGGGTGGACACAGCATCATGTTTCTGTTATTTTGTCCGCTCCTTGTTTTAAGGATGTGACATTATGGAGGCTCGAGTGTGACGTTATTGATCCTTTCAGTGGTCATCAGTGATTGGTCACTTAATTTAGTGAGAATTAATTTATTAAATTTACATTCAAACTAGATTTGATCTTTCAAGTTATTTATTTTATTTTACCAAACAATTATATCTCTTGAACTTTGTCTTTAACTTCCAAATTAAAAAAACCACAATAAAATTTCTGTAAGATTAATGATCAACTGATTTTACATTATTTTAATGTTTTAATGTAATCGGCGGCTTTTTGAGTTGATTCAAAAGAGTTTTTCTGTGTGCTGCTGTTCTGGATCAGTTCATCGTACCGTAACACACTTGTCACACTAACGCCATTTTCAGACGAGGAGGCGGAGCAGAGCGGCAGGGGGGCGGAGCCTGAGAGCAGACGGTCCCGGACGTTTCCTGAAGACGACCTGGAGGAGGACAGTGAGTTCATCTCAGGACAGGATTCAGTTTTATATTTCAAAATAAAGCGCACCTCAGGAAAGCCTCGCGTCTCTGCAGGAGATTAAACGCCGTTTCATGTGTCTGTAGGAGGGGTGAAGCTCGGCCTCGGTGATTTCATCTTCTACAGCGTCCTGGTGGGAAAAGCTGCAGCGACGGGTGGAGACTGGAACACGACGCTCGCTTGCTTCGTCGCCATCCTTATCGTAAGTGTCTGACGGGGCAGGTGCTCTGTGCTGTATTATGTGACGCTGCTGCTGTGAACAGACACCAGCAGAGCTCCACACGGGGACTGAAGATCTGTAACACACCTGTTCTCCACCTGTAACACAGCTGCAACTGTGAACTCTGAGTACAGTACGCTCCTCTGTGTGGCTCCGTAATACTGTGCACACCTGTTCTCCACCTACTCTCCACCTGTAACACACCTGTTCTCCACCTACTCTCCACCTGTAACACACCTGTTCTCCACCTGTTCTTCAAATGTTCTCCACCTGTAACACACCTGTTCTCCACCTGTAACTCACCTGCCCTCCACCTGTTCTCCACCTACTCTCCACCTGTAACACACCTGTTCTCCACCTACTCTCCACCTGTAACACACCTGTTCTCCACCTACTCTCCACCTGTAACACACCTGTTCTCCACCTACTCTCTACCTGTAACACACCTGTTCTCCACCTGTAACACAGCTGCAACTGTGAACTCTGAGTACAGTACGCTCCTCTGTGTGGCTCCGTAATACTGTGCACACCTGTTCTCCACCTACTCTCCACCTGTAACACACCTGTTCTCCACCTACTCTCCACCTGTAACACACCTGTTCTCCACTTGTTCTCCACCTGTAACACACCTGTTCTCCACCTGTTCTCCACCTGTAACACACACCTGTTCTCCACCTACTCTCTACCTGTAACACACCTGTTCTCCACCTGTTACACACCTGTTCTCCACCTACTCTCCACCTGTAACACACCTGTTCTCCACCTGTAACACACCTGTTCTCCACCTGTTCTCCACCTGTAACACACACCTGTTCTCCACCTACTCTCTACCTGTAACACACCTGTTCTCCACCTGTTCTCCACCTGTAACACACCTGTTCTCCACCTGTAACACACCTGTTCTCCACCTGTAACACACCTGTTCTCCACCTGTTCTCCACCTACTCTCTACCTGTAACACACCTGTTCTCCACCTACTCTCTACCTGTAACACACCTGTTCTCCACCTACTCTCTACCTGTAACACACCTGTTCTCTACCTGTAACACACCTGTTCTCCACCTGTTCTCCACCTGTAACACACCTGTTCTCCACCTGTAACACACCTGTTCTCCACCTGTAACTCACCTGCCCTCCACCTGTTCTCCACCTGTTCTCCACCTACTCTCTACCTGTAACTCACCTGTTCTCTACCTGTAACACACCTGTTCTCCACCTACTCTCTACCTGTAACACACCTGTTCTCCACCTGTTCTCCACCTGTTCTCCACCTGTAACTCACCTGCCCTCCACCTGTTCTCCACCTACTCTCTACCTACTCTCTACCTGTAACACACCTGTTCTCTACCTGTAACACACCTGTTCTCCACCTACTCTCTACCTGTAACACACATGTTCTCCACCTGTTCTCCACCTGTAACACACCTGTTCTCCACCTGTAACTCACCTGCCCTCCACCTATTCTTCACCTGTTCTCCACCTACTCTCTACCTGTAACACACCTGTTCTCCGCCTGTTCTCCACCTGTAACACACCTGTTCCTCCACCTGTAACTCACCTGCCCTCCACCTGTTCTCCACCTACTCTCTACCTGTAACACACCTGTTCTCCACCTGTTCTCCACCTACTCTCCACCTGTAACACACCTGTTCTCCACCTGTAACACACCTGTAACACACCTGTTCTCCACCTGTAACTCACCTGCCCTCCACCTGTTCTCCACCTATTCTCTACCTGTAACACACCTGTTCTCCACCTACTCTCTACCTGTAACACACCTGTTCTCCACCTACTCTCTACCTGTAACACACCTGTTCTCCACCTGTAACTCACCTGCCCTCCACCTGTTCTCCACCTACTCTCTACCTGTAACACACCTGTTCTCCACCTGTTCTCCACCTACTCTCTACCTGTAACACACCTGCCCTCCACCTGTTCTCCACCTACTCTCTACCTGTAACTCACTTGCCCTCCACCTGTTCTCCACCTACTCTCCACCTGTAACTCACTTGCCCTCCACCTGTTCTCCACCTACTCTCTACCTGTAACACACCTGTTCTCCACCTGTTCTCCACCTGTAACACACCTGTTCTCCACCTGTAACACCTGTTCTCCACCTGTAACACACCTGTTCTCCACCTACTCTCTACCTGTAACACACCTGTTCTCCACCTACTCTCTACCTGTAACACACCTGTTCTCCACCTACTCTCTACCTGTAACACACCTGTTCTCTACCTGTAACACACCTGTTCTCCACCTGTTCTCCACCTGTAACACACCTGTTCTCCACCTGTAACTCACCTGCCCTCCACCTGTTCTCCACCTGTTCTCCACCTACTCTCTACCTGTAACTCACCTGTTCTCTACCTGTAACACACCTGTTCTCCACCTACTCTCTACCTGTAACACACCTGTTCTCCACCTGTTCTCCACCTGTTCTCCACCTGTAACTCACCTGCCCTCCACCTGTTCTCCACCTGTTCTCCACCTACTCTCTACCTGTAACACACCTGTTCTCTACCTGTAACACACCTGTTCTCCACCTACTCTCTACCTGTAACACACATGTTCTCCACCTGTTCTCCACCTGTAACACACCTGTTCTCCACCTGTAACTCACCTGCCCTCCACCTATTCTTCACCTGTTCTCCACCTACTCTCTACCTGTAACACACCTGTTCTCCGCCTGTTCTCCACCTGTAACACACCTGTTCCTCCACCTGTAACTCACCTGCCCTCCACCTGTTCTCCACCTACTCTCTACCTGTAACACACCTGTTCTCCACCTGTTCTCCACCTACTCTCCACCTGTAACACACCTGTTCTCCACCTGTAACACACCTGTAACACACCTGTTCTCCACCTGTAACACACCTGTAACACACCTGTTCTCCACCTATTCTCTACCTGTAACACACCTGTTCTCCACCTACTCTCTACCTGTAACACACCTGTTCTCCACCTACTCTCTACCTGTAACACACCTGTTCTCCACCTGTAACTCACCTGCCCTCCACCTGTTCTCCACCTACTCTCTACCTGTAACACACCTGTTCTCCACCTGTTCTCCACCTACTCTCTACCTGTAACACACCTGCCCTCCACCTGTTCTCCACCTACTCTCTACCTGTAACTCACTTGCCCTCCACCTGTTCTCCACCTACTCTCCACCTGTAACTCACTTGCCCTCCACCTGTTCTCCACCTACTCTCTACCTGTAACACACCTGTTCTCCACCTGTAACACACCTGCCCTCCACCTACTCTCTACCTGTAACACACCTGCCCTCCACCTACTCTCTACCTGTAACACACCTGTTCTCCACCTGTTCTTCAAATGTTCTCCACCTGTAACACACCTGTTCTCCACCTGTAACTCACCTGTAACTCACCTGCCCTCCACCTGTTCTCCACCTACTCTCTACCTGTAACACACCTGCCCTCCACCTGTTCTCCACCTACTCTCTACCTGTAACACACCTGTTCTCCACCTGTTCTCCACCTACTCTCTACCTGTAACACACCTGCCCTCCACCTGTTCTCCACCTACTCTCTACCTGTAACACACCTGTTCTCCACCTGTTCTCCACCTGTTCTCCACCTACTCTCTACCTGTAACACACCTGTTCTCCACCTACTCTCTACCTGTAACACACCTGCCCTCCACCTGTTCTCCACCTACTCTCTACCTGTAACACACCTGTTCTCCACCTGTTCTCCACCTACTCTCTACCTGTAACACACCTGCCCTCCACCTGTTCTCCACCTGTTCTCCACCTACTCTCTACCTGTAACACACCTGTTCTCCACCTACTCTCTACCTGTAACACACCTGCCCTCCACCTGTTCTCCACCTACTCTCTACCTGTAACACACCTGCCCTCCACCTGTTCTCCACCTACTCTCTACCTGTAACACACCTGTTCTCCACCTGTTCTCCACCTACTCTCTACCTGTAACACACCTGTTCTCCACCTACTCTCTACCTGTAACACACCTGCCCTCCACCTGTTCTCCACCTACTCTCTACCTGTAACACACCTGTTCTCCACCTGTTCTCCACCTACTCTCTACCTGTAACACACCTGTTCTCCACCTACTCTCTACCTGTAACACACCTGCCCTCCACCTGTTCTCCACCTACTCTCTACCTGTAACACACCTGCCCTCCACCTGTTCTCCACCTACTCTCTACCTGTAACACACCTGTTCTCCACCTGTTCTCCACCTACTCTCTACCTGTAACACACCTGTTCTCCACCTACTCTCTACCTGTAACACACCTGCCCTCCACCTGTTCTCCACCTACTCTCTACCTGTAACACACCTGCCCTCCACCTGTTCTCCACCTACTCTCTACCTGTAACTCACCTGCCCTCCACCTGTTCTCCACCTACTCTCTACCTGTAACACACCTGTTCTCCACCTGTTCTCCACCTACTCTCTACCTGTAACACACCTGCCCTCCACCTGTTCTCCACCTACTCTCCACCTGTAACTCACCTGCCCTCCACCTGTTCTCCACCTACTCTCCACCTACTCTCCACCTGTAACACACCTGTTCTCCACCTACTCTCCACCTGTAACACACCTGTTCTCCACCTGTAACTCACCTGCCCTCCACCTGTTCTCCACCTGCCTCAGGGTCTGTGCCTGACTCTGCTGCTGCTGGCCATCTTTAAGAAAGCCCTGCCGGCGCTGCCCATCTCCATCACCTTCGGCCTGGTCTTCTACTTCTCCACAGACTTCCTGGTTCAGCCCTTCATGGACAACCTGGCTGCTCACCAGTACTACATCTGACAGAAAGACCCGCCCCCTCGCTTTCCTCCTCCTCCTCATTATCTTCCTCGTTATCCTGCAGGGCCGCCGCACAACGCACAAAGACCACTTCCTGCGCAGGTCTTCTACCCGTCTTTCTAACACTGTTTGGGGAACATGACGCATTAACCAAACCGCAGGAAGTGATGTAATGCGGACGGAGGAAGCTGGTGTGGGTGTTAGAAGGTGGCAGCAGGTTACCTGGTAGATTCTCCTCAGGTGTGTTTCTGATCACCTGCTGACTAATAGTTTAAAGGAAAGATCCACCTTAAATGCTGTAACTCATCCTGTCTGTAGAGTCTCAGTCACGTTTCTGACGGCCGCGTGTGATTGGACGACGCTGCCGTCAGTCAAAGCAGACACAACATCCTGTTTTCAAACTGTAAACATTCACTGGGACAGAATTTAAGGATGTTATTGACACTTTTTTTGTGCGCTCCATTCGCTGTTTTGTCTTTTAACTTCCTGTCGGTGGCACTGGCTTCTGTCCTGCAAACGCACACCTACATTAATGAGGAGGTCATGTGACCTGACGCCACATCCACCGCCGATATCTAGCTTAGCCTGTGTTAGCAGCAGCGCAGTGTTTCTGTGGTGATTAAAACCAGCTGATTTTGATGCATTATAAACTTTTCAACTTGTTTAATAAACATTTTATTATTAGTAGTAGAATTTGGAATAATCACGCCATAAAACAAAAATTCTTTTGATATTTTGAATGTCATTCGTTTCTGAAGATCCAGACGTTTCACTGTCATCGCCATAACTACAGATGAAGAAATATTATTATTATGCATTAAAACTCTTTGAAACGACCACATCTTGAGTTGTCATGTTATATTTACAGTGTCAGTCAATCAGCTGCTCGTTAGATTAAAAAACTGATCAGATATTTGATCAAATATCTTGAGGTGAAGCTGCAGACGTCATTCCCACTTCCTGTGTAGACAGGAAGTTGAAAGACAGCATCACAGCGGACCGATTTTAATGTTTACAGTATTTTAAGGTGGATTTCTCCATGAACACGTTGGCAGATCTCCCTCACAGAAACAGATTACTTTACTTCTAAGATTAGGATTAATGAAGGTTTAATTAAACTTCAAAATCCAGCTGTGATGCAGAACTTCAACAGAAGCTGCGGTCCTTTATTAACGAAACAAAGCTGCGAAATGAAACCAGCTCGACTGTCAGAGTGACGTCAACAGGTCCGATCCGGTTTAATCTGTTCATTATTTTTAGCAGTAAAAGACCTCGTATCAAAACCGAGTTTCAGGACCTGAATGATTCTAGTTTAAATTCTGCTCATCTCGTGAGGAGATAATCGCTTGACCTAAAGATATGCACCCCCCCCCCCCCCCCAACAGTCCCTCTGAAACGCCAAAAGTCCACTTTAATACAATTTCAGACTCTATTTAAAGGTTTTACATACATTAAGAAAAGAGAAAGAAAAAGATCTGAATCACCCTAATTAGTCGACGGTAGTGTTGTAGTACTGGAGACCGGTCTTGTCTCGGACATTAAGGACTCTGGATTTTATTTCAAGACCAGTGCAGAGCAACTTGGGAATATCAATAAATTGCTTTTGCATTGTCTGATTTATTTGTTAACATCCAAACTTTGATTGGATGTAAATCTTATTGCTTCTAATGCAACAAATAACCCTAATTAAAAATGTGTTGTTACCGTTAGCGACTGCCCCCCCCTCCCCGTGATGCTCAGCGTGGAAAAGGAGCGTTGATTTCAGCTCTTAGTGTTTACATGTGGGTGTTTTAACGGGAATGTGGATCTTTCAGATCAATTTGAGACGTACCTCTGATCTGGTTCCACATTTTATTGTGTGTCCTGTGGGGAACTGGTTTGGGTCTCGACTCGGTCTCAACCCTAAAGTCTTGGTCTCGATAAACTCTGGTCTTGGTCTTTACTACAACACTAATAGACTAATAGACATGTATTCCTTAAAACTTACGAGTACTTATTTTTTTGAGACCAGCACTTAATTTTTTGTCACTTGTAACTATTCCGTTGGTTAATAGCAACTAAATGCACATTTTTCCCCTTGAAATCTACGGGGCTCTGATATCAGCTGGTAACTATTCCAAAACACTCTAGTAAAGATCTTTTTTATTCATCTATGACCTGTAAAACTGCTTGTTGATAGTTACTAAGTTTATCTCAGTAACTATTGGAATAGTTACTAGTAACAAAAGAAATCAGGACTAGTAGCTAAAAATGAGATATTAGTAACCATTTCAATTTCACTAGTAACTATTCAAATAGCTACTAGTAACTAAAGAACAGGTGAAGTCTGCACTGCAGAGATTTCAATAGCAGAAATGTGCAATAGTAATTAATGCCTCACTAAATGTTGGAGCTGCAACACACCTGGTTTAAATCCTCACCTCAGCAGGAGGTCAGCTAGTGTTGCTAACTTTAGCTTTGGCAGCAGAAAGCTTCATTTTTATCTTTAGGATCCATCAAACAAAACCTAAACTACAGAACACGGCACCAGTGGAGTCTGTCCAGGTGGGTTTGTGTGTCCAGGTACGTCACCATTGTGGTCTGGAAATGACAGAACAGAATCTATATTCTGGAAAAATGTTTCAACTAACTTATATTCACCTCCATTATTATATCATGAGAACAGAGTTGTAATATTTCACAGAACCAAACCTTTGTTCAGGTTTCAACACAAACTGCATTTACTTTGTATTTAGATGCTACGAGCTCTGTTCTCTAGTTTACAGCCGAGTATTAAAATAGTTTTATACATCTTTACTCTCAAAATATATCTTTATTCTAGAAAATTACTTCTTTGTATAAAAAGAATTTAGGCAGTGTTTCTGAAATATTACAACGGCATTCTTAAATGATTTCTTTGGTAACCGTGGCTGTAATTTTCTGCAGTTTCCAAATGAAATGCTCTGTTGCTCCGGGACTGTTCATTTCTCTCTGAACTGAACTTTCTGATAAAGCTTTACGAACACCGGCCTGCTGTATGATGGGTATATTTTGTAGAAAGTGATTCAGGTGATTTTGTAACTGAAAGATTTTATTTCATTGTATTGTGCAATAAACTTCTGTGATGAGCTGGAGAAATAAAAACAAATCTATTCAACTTCTTCCGCCTCTTTTAGCTCATGTTTATGTAGCATGTTAGCTAGCATGTTATCCATGACGTCTTTGAGTAATGTGTGCATATTATTTTTGACGCCAACCTACCGGCCCCAGTAGGCTAGTTAAGTGACTGGTTAAAGTTAAAGCAGTTCAACCAGCAGACAGCAGCACTGAATGAGTCTACTCAGTCGTGAGTATCTTTTTAGCAGCAACTGAATGGAAACGACGACTTCTCGTGCCGAAATTAAGATTTCTTAAACTTTGGACAGAGCAAGGCTAGCAGTTTCCCCCTGTGTCCAGTCTTTATGCTAAGCTAGGCTAAGCACTGCCCTGGTACTCATGCCCATTTAAATGTCATGTTGAACGATTCCTCCGGGCTTTTTTTACAGCAGAACCGTCTTTTCAGAATAAAATCCCACAGAGCCGGCTCCTCCTCACATCAACATGTTTAATCTGGATTAAAAAAAAACCAACAGCGTAGCAGTTCACTAACAAACAAGTTTCTACTGTATGAAATGATTTCCGATGACTTAATTCCTCTCTTCAAACTGGGATTTGTTCTTCAGCAGGAACGCCGCCAGGTACTCGATGGGGTTCGGAGGTCTGGAAGAGGAAACACGACACACCAACATTAGGGCTGCAACTAACGACTATTCTATTCTACTATTCTCACGACAGGAGAACTGTTCTCTCTTCTTTAGAAAGAGTGATGTGACGCATCGTTTATGAAGTCAGGGCACGTCTGCAATGTGAACACGCCCGTTGTGAATCATAATTATTTGCTACTCTCATCGCCATTATCAACCAATCAAACTGACCGAGGGAAACTAGAAAACGTTTCAGCTTAATACGACTTTAACGTGAAGCTAGCTCGCTAACTAGCTTACAGACTTGAGTCATCATCCACAGAGACACGATGTTACGCGCCTCCTCTTCAGGCGCTCTGGTGTCTGCAGGAGAGCTCAGCTTTGCAGACGCTGCAGTTCACGACCTTTCTGGCTGAGTGAAACGCTGCCACGCTCTGGAGGTTTGAGGTGGTGAAGGTGTTACTGCAGCGCTGATGTTGTTTTAGTACCTTTACTGTTCACTTTACTCCGTTAAGCTAACGGCGTCGCTACGGCCCGATGATGTCGTGAACGAATACATTATTAAATCTGTTGGCAACACGTTCTGAATGAATAAATACAGTAGAGAACAGCGCTGAGCGGAGCGGGGGGGGGCTCGCGGGGGCGGGGCTTATGTGCTGTGATGTGGTAGTGAATTGTTGAAACGGTGTTATCGTCATCACGCAGGTTTTCTATATGTTAGAAACGAATGTGTTGAAACAGATTTGTAAGAGTTTTATGAAGTTCTAATGAAGCGCTGAATACGCAGCAGGATCTCCGCCACAGTCTCGTTGTTTCAGCGTTATTGATGCTGCAGGTCTTCAAATCAGTCGGGCCACTTCTTTAACAGCCATTAGACGGTTCCTGGTCAGCTCAGTCAGTAGTGAACAGGCCTTTCAATCGGAGGGTTGTGCGTTCGCCCTGCACAGTACTGCATGTATGTAGTAATATACAGTGAGGAAAATAAGTATTTGCTATTTTGCAAGTTCTCCCACTTAGAAATCATGGAGGGGTCTGAAATTGTCATCGTAGGTGCATGTCCACTGTGAGAGACATAATCTAAAAGAAATAATCCAGAAATCACAATGTATGACTTTCTATTTATTTGTATGAATCAGCTGCAAATAAGTATTTGAACACCTGAGAAAATCAATGTTAATATTTGGTGCAGTAGCCTTTGTTTGGTCAAACGTTTCCTGTAGTTTTTCACCAGGTTTGCACTGCAGGAGGGATTTTGGCCCACTCCTCCACACAGATCTTCTCTAGATCAGTCAGGTTTCTGGGCTGTCGCTGAGAAACACGGAGTTTGAGCTCCCTCCAAAGATTCTCTTATTGGGTTTACGTCTGGAGACTGGCTAGGCCACGCCAGAACCTTGATATGCTTCTTACAGAGCCGCTCCTTGGTTATCCTGGCTGTGTGCTTCGGGTCATTGTCATGTTGGAAGACCCGGCCTCGACCCATCTTCAATGCTCTAACTGAGGGAAGGAGGTTGTTCCCCAAAATCTGGCAATACATGGCCCCGGTCATCCTCTCCTTAATACAGTGCAGTCGCCCTGTCCCATGTGCAGAAAAACACCCCCAAAGCATGATGCTACCACCCCCCATGCTTCACAGTAGGGATGCTGTTCTTGGGATGGTCCTCATCATTCTTCTTCCTCCAAACACGGTTAGTGGAATTATGACCAAAAAGTTCTATTTTGGTCTCATCTGACAACATGACTTTCTCCCATGACTCCTCTGGATCAAACTGAAGACGGGCCTTGACATGTGCTGGTTTAAGCAGGGGAACCTTCCGTGCCATGCATGATTTCAAACCATGACGTCTTAGTGTATTACCAACAGTAACCTTGGAAACGGTGGTCCCAGCTCTTTTCAGGTCATTGACCGGCTCCTCCCGTGTAGTTCTGGGCTGATTTCTCACCTTTCTTAGGATCATTGAGACCCCACGAGGTGAGATCTTGCATGGAGCCCCAGTCTTGAGGGAGATTGACAGTCATGTTTAGCTTCTTCCATTTTCTAATGATTGCTCCAACAGTGGACCTTTTTTCCACCAAGCTGCTTGGCAATTTCCCCGTAGCCCTTTCCAGCCTTGTGGAGTTGTACAATTTTGTCTCTAGTGTCTTTGGACAGCTCTTTGGTCTTGGCCATGTTAGTAGTTGGATTCTTACTGATTGTATGGGGTGGACAGGTGTCTTTATGCAGCTAACGACCTCAAACAGGTGCATCTAATTTAGGATAATAAATGGAGTGGAGGTGGACATTTTGAAGGCAGACTTCTAGCTGATAGACAGGTGTTCAAATACTTATTTGCAGCTGTATCATACAAATAAATAGTTATAAAATCATACATTGTGATTTCTGGATTTTTTTTTTAGATTATGTCTCTCACAGTGGACATGCACCTACGATGACAATTTCAGACCCCTCCATGATTTCTGAGTGGGAGAACTTGCAAAATAGCAGAGTGTTCAAATACTTATTTTCCTCACTGTATGCAGTAACGTGTTCCCACCTGTCCTTGGCGAGCACCGACAGGCCCTGCAGCAGGATGGGGACCACCGTCTGGTCCAGGTACGCTCGGGTCGGCAGCGCCTGCAGGTCCACCTTCTGCTTCGAGATCTTCTCTGCGCTCGCCTTCTCGTTCTCCACCGTCCTCTGAGGAGCAGCAGCAAAGCATGCTGGGAGTCTGCCTTCACCTTACCATTACACAGCGCACAGTGTGTGTGTGTGTGTGTGTGTGTTACCTGGATGTTTTCCGTCAGGCCGTACTCTGCGTGAGGGTTTTCAGACACCTGCAGGAGGATTCATGTTTCACAGATGAGCTTCACTGAACAATCACTTCATCATCCATTCATCCGACGATCCATTACTTGATTAACTGATTAATCGTTTGATCAATGAAGAATCAGAAAGCGTCCCAGTGATCAATGTGTTTTCATGAGTTCAACAGTCAGAAGCTCTCCAGTTTATAAATATCACACCAGAGAAACTGAGTGAGCTGCTTTAATGGCAGGACAGTGTGATGTGGTTTCACTGTGTAGTACTGTGTAGTAGAGTGTAGTACTCACAGGTGTGTGTCCCTCCATGGACTGATCTGCATCTGTGTGATCTGAAAGAGAAACCGTGTGCCTTTAGAGGTTGTTTTTAAATCGAGTGACGGACAGCAGACAGACTTTTCCCAGGCGGTGCTAAAATGTCACATTTTTAGACTAACTTTGGTTCAGAGGTACGAGGTATCGCCTGTAGAAGGTGTTCAGAATTTGATTAACTGTTGATTAATTAATTGTCGCTCCACAACCAGAGTGGGACAGGTGACTTACCTTAGGACAGGTGAGTGTGCTGCCTGAACCTTAACTGGGTTCCAGCTCTTTAAACTGAGCTGTCTTTAATCTCTGCATGTTTAGTTATTGTCTGAATATCTGTGTGGTTTCAACAGATGAAGCAGAAGAAAAGCAATTGTGGTTTAATTTATATGTTTAAATTACTATTTTAACTGTTGCATAAAAACATGTATTCTGCATTTTATCCGTTTGTGTTTTAACTGATTATCCAAACTGAACTGACTAACAGATGAATCGGTTCATGCTTTACAAGCAGAAGCACCCGAACAAAACCGTGTGAATCTAAAACTGACGAAATTCTGAATGGAGTTTGGTTCAAAATACTCTCAAGTCATAGGTTTGAGTATTTTGTAACATTAAATAAAAAGTTATTCTGTGTTTGACCGACATCCTGCCGCATTCAGCAGGATATCATTGAGACTTGCAAGTGACCCTGAGGTCACTTCAGGAAACACCGGTAACCGAGGAATCACTAAAACACATGATTTTTAAACACAGTTTGGTTTAATGAAACGGAAAGCTGTCCGGAGTCCGTAAGGTCACTTTGGAAACATATTAGAGAGGATAATTTGTTTAATAATTAAGTGTTTAGCATCAAATAAAGTGGCTAATAAGTGACCGTAAGGTTAATACTTCTAGTTTGAGTCTGCGCCGCGAACAGAGGACGTTAATAAAACTAAAGCCATCAGACGCCTTTTTCCGCTCTGATGGAAACCAAAGTCCGTAACATTTATTCAGTATTTAAGTCTTTACACTGATGTCGCTCGCGCTGCATTGTGAGCGGCGGTAAGTTAGCTTAGCATCACCTCAACGATTTCGTTATCCGGTAACATAAACCTCACTTACGGGTAAACTCGACCTCCGTGATCCGAACCGAGACATCAGACCGCCAAACCAAACCGGAAACACGCGGCAAACAAACAGAAATAACAACAAAAACGGTGAAAACGCGATCAATGGTCAACAATTAACTTACCGTCCGCCATGTTTGTTGTGGGTATTTACGCAAAATGTCTGGCGTAACGTTACGCCGATTCTGTTCTAAAGGCTACGTAGAAAAGACATCCCTTTCCGGTTTGTGTAGACATACTTCAAAATAAAAGCACGAACCCAGATTAAAATTTCTCTCTCTCAGGATCTTTTATCTTTCTGTTGATTAAGCGCAGAACGAGAGGACAGGTAGAGACAGAGCTGCAATAAAAAACATCAAGAGAAAAACACTTTGCAAACATTTCCCAAATATATAAAATATACCCTGAATTCAAATTTCTATCAGACACACAGAAACTCCTCTATTTACTAGTAGAAATGCCAAATGCAGCAAAATATGTCTCCTCATGCCACCAACTGAGGACAACCAGTGGGAACTCAGACTAGACTGATAAATATATTAAATTAAATAAATATAATACATTTTCAAGATATTATTATTTCATTGTTTTTATTTTAGTCATTGTTCATTTATTTGTTTATTTTAAATTTCACATTTGATTCTGATTTTTTTAGTTGTCAGAATCAGAATCAGAGTGAGGTTTAATGCCAGGTACATTTTCACGTACGAGGAATTTGCCTTGGTATGTAGTGGCGCTCTACAGAACATAAATATAGAAATATAAATGTAGAGACTCATCGTGTTCCACAGCGGGTGAAGCCATATTTGTCTGAGTAATCTCCTCGAGTCATCAGCCAGTAAAGGTCACCGCAGACCTCATCCCGCTAGTCAAGGTCATCGGAGCTCACTCAGCAGTTCTGGCTCGGTGCTGAACTCATCACTAAACATCACAAATCACTAACAACAAGTTGGCATAACTTCCTGTGTGTGGTGTTTATTGCTGATGCGTCATCTTTCTCCCTGATCACTACAGTCCAAACATCTCCATGTGAAGGTGTCTGCACAGATTCTCTGATCCATAATGCATAAAACTGCGCTGGTGCTTTGGTTTCCCCCGTCCCTCCATCAGCCCAGTATACAGTGGTCGGACAAAGCCGGATTGCTGGGATTCATTAGCCAGCAAGAGTTATAGGGCCCCACATGCTCCTGTAATATATCTGACAGCAAAGTATAGCAGCGCAAGTGGCGTACCTGCATTTCCCCGTGAGGAAGCTGGTTCACACGGTGGCTCAGCGGCCTCCAATGAGAACACAATTTATGGGAGGAGCTTAAGCCGAGTCACCATCACCCACCATCACCCTAATTTCCTCTGGAGGCATGCCAAAGATGTCCACATGAGGGGACGGACAGGCCTTCTTTCTGGTCACAGTGACCTTGGCATTACATCCTCATTTGCTGGTAATTCGTTGACTCAGAGCTGCGACATCGTCGTGTCAATGCTTCTTGCCGGTCGTTGCTGACCTCGTCAAGTTTATCCTGGGTAAATCCTTATTTCCTGCTGAGTCACAGCTGCTATTGCTCTGTATTCACCCTATCTGCCCACAGTCTGTTGTGACCAGGCCCGGCCCGGGGCATTGGCGACACAGGCGGTTGCCTAGATATGTAAGATTTTATTGGTCTTTAATATTTGTAACCCACAGAGAACAATCGCCAGATGTGAACTATGATGCGCAAATATTTTACTATCTGCAAATTGACAGGCAATGATCCGCAAATGTGCTAAAACTGTTTTGTGTGTAGACGTCACTCTGTGTAGATATGATTTTACACATCACAAATGGAAGAAATACATATTTGTAGATAGTAAAATATTTGCGCATCATAGTACACATCTGGCGATTGTTCTCTGTGGGTTACAAATATTAAAGTCCAATAAAATCTTCCATATCTAGGGCGCAAACTGTCATGGGGGCGACGCAAGAGAAGGTTTTCAACTCAGTAACAGTAACGTAACTGGAGTTTTGCAATATAAACACCTTAAAACTGAAGTGCAGCCTTGCTCTGTTTGAGCTGCTGAAGTTAACGTGTGGATTTGTGGTGAGATTTCTGCCTGATCACTGTTCCATGCGGCCCCTGTGTCTGTCAAACACTCAGCAGAGCATAGGGCAGGTAGAAATTAAAACATCATGAATTCTCATTAACGTCATTGACGTTAGTTTTTTCTGGACATGTCAGAGAACACAGATATGTGGGCGTCACACTGTGAGTGTCTGCTCTGGTCTGTTTAGTTAGTTTCAGTCGGGTTTTTTTCTGTATCTGTCATTTAGTCTGTTGTCTTGTGTCCAGTGTGTTTGTGCTTGTTCGTCTGAGACTGTCTGTGTGTCTGTTGGGGAGTCTGGTTGTGTGGTTCTGATCTATTTAGTTTCATTATTATTTTGATTATTCTGCTTTAGTCTGTTCTCGTGATTCAGTTTGTTGTTCGGTTTGACTGTCCGTCCTGTTTTAGTTGTCTCTCATATTGAGAATTATTTTAGAGCATTATAGCCTAAGTTGTTATCATTAATTGCTAGAGCGAAGGTAAAGTTAGGATCACAGTGTTTAGACTCTATAGCTCTGAGAGTGTGTGGTCCTCTCTGTGTCTAGCTGCCCGGAGGCAGTAACAGTAGCACATGTGTGCTCTGGGAGCAGAGTGAGCTCAGCAAGGCATCATCAGAAACACCAGCAAAGTTAGAATGTAGAAGCAGAATTAGCGAACATACATAAACATAGTCCATCACAGCAGGGATGTCCTGTCTTTAGCACACAGACCAAAAGACACCGGCTTATTCCACAAAGGTTTTTGGTGAAAATAGCCTGATCAGCAGTTGGCAGGTCATCATGTTTGAGTAGTAATCATTAATCACTCTTAATTCATCATTTTTAATCAATCATTTAATCATCGAAATTATATCAAATAAAGGCTTGAAATATCTCACTTCACATGTAATGGGTCTATATAATATATTAGTTATATCTTTTAAGTTGAATTACAGAAATAAATGAACCTTTGCACGATATGCTAATTTTTCGAGTTTCACCTGTATAAACAGAAAGGATATGTGCACACAGGACAAGAAATAAAAAACATTGCACCCGTTAACATTCAGACTTTGCCTGAGTCGTTGTTCAGGCAAATGTCATTTAGCTAAATTGTGTCGCGCCAAACAAGATACTTCTGGAAGACTGCGGTGATCAGGTGGATCAGGATCTGGCGTGAGTCATGATCTGGTATGAATCAGGATCTGGTGTGAGTCAGGATCTGGCGTGGGTCAGGATCTGGTGTGTGTCGTGATCTGGTGTGGATCAGGATCTGGTGTGAGTCAGGATCTGGCGTGGGTCAGGATCTGGTGTGTGTCGTGATCTGGCGTGTGTCGTGATCTGGTGTGGGTCAGGATCTGGTGTGAATCAGGATCTGGTGTGAATCAGGATCCAGTGTGAGTCAAGATCTGGTGTGGGTCAGGATCTGGTGTGAATCAGGATCAGGTGTGAATCAGGATCTGGCGGGAGTCGTGATCTGGCGTGAGTCAGGATCTGGTGTGTGTCGTGATCTGGCGTGAGTCGTGATCTGGTGTGGGTCAGAATCTGGTGTGAATCAGGATCTGGTGTGAATCAGGATCCAGTGTGAGTCAAGATCCGGTGTGGGTCAGGATCTGGTGTGAATCAGGATCAGGTGTGAATCAGGATCTGGCGGGAGTCGTGATCTGGTGTGAGTCAGGATCTGGTGTGAGTCAGGATCTGGCGTGGGTCAGGATCTGGTGTGTGTCGTGATCTGGTGTGGATCAGGATCTGGTGTGAGTCAGGATCTGGCGGGAGTCGTGATCTGGCGTGAGTCAGGATCTGGTGTGAGTCAGGATCTGACGTGGGTCAGGATCTGGTGTGTGTCGTGATCTGGTGTGGATCAGGATCTGGTGTGAGTCAGGATCTGGCGGGAGTTGTGATCTGGTGTGGGTCAGGATCTGGTGTGAATCAGGATCTGGTGTGAATCAGGATCTGGCGTGAGTCAAGATCTGGCATGAGTCAGGATCTGGTGTGTGTCGTGATCTGGCGTGAGTCAGGATCAGGTGTGAATCAGGATCCGGTGTGAGTCAAGATCTGGCGTGAGTCAGGATCTGGTGTGAATCAGGATCTGGCGGGAGTCGTGATCTGGCGTGAGTCAGGATCTGGCGTGAGTCAGGATCTGGCGTGAGTCAGGATCTGGCGTGAGTCAGGATCTGGTGTGAATCAGGATCTGGCGTGAGTCAAGATCTGGTGTGTGTCGTGATCTGGAGTGAGTCAGGATCTGGTGTGAGTCAGGATCTGGTGTGTGTCGTGATCTGGAGTGAGTCAGGATCTGGTGTGAGTCAGGATCTGGTCTGGATCATTGTTATGGCTGATAAAAGAAACACTCAACTAAAAAGAAAACATCCTCTGGTCTCATCAGTATATTTGAGCTGCCGTGTTCACAAGTCTGGAGCTGGATTTGATTAGTTCCTCCTCCCTCCTCACAGTATGAAAGGAATGACAGCTTTCCTGGAGCGAGGGTAGTCCTCAAACCTCTGCTGGTAGTCTCTGTAAGAAACACAGATGAAGATACTTAAGTCCACCAAAAATTAGGGGTGGGGCTTTAAAGTGGGGGCTAAGTGTCTTGTTCAGGGACACATTGGTGTCTCACAGTGGATTTGAACCCAGGTCTCGCACACCAAAGATATGTGTCTTATCCACTGCACCATCACCACCCCCTGAGTAAAATTAGAAAGCTACCTGCACTGGTAACGAATCAGATTGTAAAGCTACCTGTGGTGCTGGCAGGCTCTGGGCCCGATGGAGCAGACGGTGAAAAGAGCGAAGGCGAAGGTGGGTAAAGACCAGGTGGCTATGGCAAAACCACACCACTCCACTATCTCCCCGAAGAAGTTAGCGCCAGACACAAACTCAAACATTCCCCCTGAAAGAAATATAAAGTCGACTAAGTATTAAAAGTGAAATGGAGTCACAGATACTGTAGAAAGAGTATTACGTGGTACTCAGTAGCATGTTACAATCAATTCATCCCTGGATCTGGAGTGAGTCAGGATCTGGTGTGGATCAGGATCTGGCGTGAGTCATGATCCGGTGTGAGTCAGGATCTGGCATGAGTCAGGATCTGGCGTGAGTCAGGATCTGGGATTTGGTGTGAATCGGGATCTGGCGTGAGTCAGGATCTGGTGTGAGTCAGGATCTGGTGTGAATCAGGATCTGGCGTGAGTCAAGATCTGGCATGAGTCAGGATCTGGTGTGTGTCGTGATCTGGAGTGAGTCAGGATCTGGTGTGAGTCAGGATCTGGTGTGAATCAGGATCTGGCGTGAGTCAAGATCTGGCATGAGTCAGGATCTGGCATGAGTCAGGATCTGGTGTGTGTCGTGATCTAGAGTGAGTCAGGATCTGGTGTGAGTCAGGATCTGGCGTGAATCAGGATCTGGCGTGAGTCAAGATCTGGCATGAGTCAGGATCTGACATGAGTCAGGATCTGGTGTGTGTTGTGATCTGGTGTGGATCAGGATCTGGCGTGAGTCAAGATCTGGTGTGTGTCGTGATCTGGTGTGGATCAGAATCTGGTTTGAATCAGAATCTGGTGTGAATCATGATATGGTGTGGATCAGGATCTGGTTTGAATCAGAATCTGGTGTGAATCATGATATGGTGTGGATCAGGATCTGGCGTGAGTCAAGATCTGGTGTGAGTCAGAATCTGGTGTGAATCATGATATGTTGTGGATCAGGATCTGGCGTGAGTCAAGATCTGGTGTGTGTCGTGATCTGGTGTGGATCAGGATCTGGTTTGAATCAGAATCTGGTGTGAATCATGATATGGTGTGGATCAGGATCTGGTTTGAATCAGAATCTGGTGTGAATCATGATATGGTGTGGATCAGGATCTGGCATGAGTCAGGATCTGGCGTGAGTCAGGATCTGGTGTGTGTTGTGATATGGTGTGGATCAGGATCTGGCGTGAGTCAAGATCTGGTGTGTGTCGTGATCTGGTGTGGATCAGGATCTGGCGTGAGTCAGGATCTGGGATATGGTGTGGATCAGGATCTGGCGTGAGTCGTGATCCGGTGTGAGTCAGGATCTGGTGTGAGTCAGGATCTGGTGTGAATCAGGATCTGGCGTGAGTCAAGATCTGGCATGAGTCAGGATCTGGCATGAGTCAGGATCTGGTGTGTGTTGTGATCTGGTGTGGATCAGGATCTGGCGTGAGTCAAGATCTGGTGTGTGTCGTGATCTGGTGTGGATCAGGATCTGGTTTGAATCAGAATCTGGTGTGAATCATGATATGGTGTGGATCAGGATCTGGTTTGAATCAGAATCTGGTGTGAATCATGATATGGTGTGGATCAGGATCTGGCGTGTGTCGTGATCTGGCGTGAGTCAGGATCTGGCGTGAGTCAGGATCTGGCGTGAGTCAGGATCTGGCATGAGTCAGGATCTGGCGTGAGTCGTGATCCGGTGTGTGTCGTGATATGGTGTGGATCAGGATCTGGCGTGAGTCAAGATCTGGTGTGTGTCGTGATCTGGTGTGGATCAGGATCTGGCGTGAGTCAGGATCTGGCGTGAGTCAGGATCTGGCGTGAGTCAGGATCTGGGATATGGTGTGGATCAGGATCTGGGATATGGTGTGGATCATGATCTGGCGTGAGTCATGATCCGGTGTGAGTCAGGATCTGGTGTGAGTCAGGATCTGGCATGAGTCAGGATCTGGCGTGAGTCAGGATCTGGGATTTGGTGTGAATCGGGATCTGGCGTGAGTCAGGATCTGGCATGAGTCAGGATCTGGCGTGAGTCAGGATCTGGGATATGGTGTGGATCAGGATCTGGCGTGAGTCGTGATCCGGTGTGAGTCAGGATTTGGTGTGAATCAGGATCTGGCGTGAGTCAGGATCTGGGATCTTGTGTGGGTCAGGACCTACCGTGGGGGATCCTGTAGACGGTCTCTCCGGGTTTTCTCAGGCTGCGCAGGACGGCGTCGCTGTGGATGTTGATGATGAGTCCGACCACGAACACAACAATGCCTGCGTCATACAAACAGGAAGTGGTTGGACATGATCTGATGCATATCCCTGCCTTAATCCAAAACCCTGTTTGCAGCAAAGAGTCGTTAATCAGCAAATTAAGAAGAGTTAAATGAGTTAATTCTACTCTGGAGTCAGATCCATTATATTTGACTCTCACTAAATCAAACCTGTAAGTATAAATGTATAAATAAATAAGTTGTCCCTGGCCCCCGGTGCCCAGGTGGAAATGTTAAAACAAATGTTTTAAAACACAAATAATTCGATCCATCTTCATCCGCTTATCCAGGGTCGCGGGACACAAATAATTACCGTCTTTAATTTCCAAGCCTTTTTTAAGAATATGGAAGAGCTATATACACCTTTTAAAATGTTGCGGGGCTAACACTCGATCCTCTGAGGCCCCATCCACACTATTTTAAAACGAATACGATCCACAGCAGCGTTTTAGCTGATCTCTGTCCACATTAAAACGCACATCTAGTGGCCGTCCACGTACTCTGGGCGCACGCGTGTCGGTGTAAACATGAACCAGATGGTCTGTTGCTTCAAATGCAACCAATAACCAGGGTTTGAATTACGGGGGGGATTGGGGGGAATCTGGTGTGAATCAGGATCTGGTGTGGATCAGGATCTGGTGTGGATCAGGATCTGGTGTGGATCAGGATCTGGTGTGAGTCAGGATCCAGTTTGACCCCCTAATTAAGGCTTGGACCCCCCAAAAGAGGCAAAACCAACAGTTCAGAGGGGTCTTTCTTACCTGTAATTGTAAATATTACAATATATTTCCCGTACTCATGCCTTATATTCAAGAATCTTGAAGTAGGATTTCTGACACCCCTAAAATGGACCGTACCATTTCCTAACCTTGGCGTCCTGTCTGCCCGCATCAGCTGCTCCAGTCAGAGCATCACACGCTAATGGAGACGCTGTAAGTTAATGTCAGTAGTTATCTAGCTGCTGTAATACACTGAACTTTCCTACCTTCAGAGTTTGTAATTAGCCGGCCGACAGCCCTCCCTGTACTTTCTTTACCAGCGTATCTTTTCATATGTAACTGTCAGCCGACACTGGGGCTCAGGCACGAGCAGCGAAACTGAGGAAACACATTCTGACATCAATATATAGAGGTTATTATTTCATTTCAAGTATTCTGTCAGTCTTTCTACAATCAGCACGATACTTGTTTCCACAGGAGTTTTACCTGCTCAGGTAAATGTTAAAATCCAGGTGTGTTGTTTCTCATGTATTCACTTTTATCTATATCGCGCCGATTCATCACAAAAGGTTATTTCATGGCACTTGTTCTACAGAGCAGCTGTAGATAGTAGCCTACTCTGTTTAATAATATTTACAGAGACCCAAAAATGCCCAATTCTCCAACAGTGTGTGACTTCTGCTTTGTTGAATACAAATTACATTTCACAGTCAACTTGAGCAGGAGGAAAGGAGATATTTGCTACAAAAAAAACATTGTTCAACACTGTGTGGGTCTGTGATTGAGCCGTCCTGATGGGCTGCAGTAGAATAGTGGCCTCTCACTACATGTTATGGAGCCCCGTGAACTGGTGCAATGAATTTGATTTATCATCATCCACAGACTGCACACAGTATTAAATGAGCAAGAATATTGTAAGCTTTGAAAGATTTTAGTTTACTGAAGCCTGCGCTGTACTGGGTTTCCTTTTCAACCATTTGAGGAACAACATACAAGCATCAACAGAGCATCAACTACAGATCTACAACTGACAACACATACTAGTAAGAGCTCAAAGTTCCCCCCCATCAATGGGGTAGATACCGAGGGAAGGAAGCAAGAGTTAACAAAAAAGTGCAATCAATACAAGATCATTGTAGGGGATAGAAGAAGAAGAGCACAGGAAGTGCATGTTAGAGGTTAGGAGTTAGAGGTGTTATAAGAGGAAGTGTTCTCGGAGGAGATGAGTTTTCAAGAGAGGGACGCCACCATGAGTCCTTTTGGGCTGATCAAAAACCAGACGCGCTGCTGCGTTCTGAACCGCACAAGCTGGAAGAGCTGCCAGGAGGGCGAAGAGGTTTAAGAATTTTAATTCCAAAAAGAGTTTTAATTCCAAAAAATACATGAAATTAGTTCAGGTACCAACACCGTGGACCCATATAGACACTCTGTGATTGTGGGTATGTTGATTTTACTGTGTAGACTTCAGTTAAATTAGGACTGAGATGATAACTAACCTTTAAACGCAGCTTTGAGCCAAGATTTCTTTTACGCAGTCACTTGGTCAATTCTTGGCTTCTTATGAGTAATTCTGAGAAGCTTGATAGAAGTTTACAGTAAGGCAATGCACTTGCTGTGGCCCTTCTCCAACAGCAGGTGGCAGCGTGATTTACCTCAGGGCCACCCCCCCCCCCCCCCCCCCTTCCTGTCCCATTATTTCTTTCCTGTTCTTCCTGTCAGTCCAGTTGTTCGCTTCTCCTGCTGTTTGCTGGATTATTTTATTTTCAGAGCATAAAACCAGCAGACAGTGTGTTTCAGTGTCAGTGGACAAAGTATTCAGATGCTGTTCTTAAATAAAAGTTCAAATACCACGCTGTAAAAATACAAGTTAAACACTGCATTGAAAATGCTACTTAAGAAACATTCTGAACCTTCATAAAGCTTTGTTTTGTCTGACCAACAGTCCAAAGCTTAATGTTTCTAACAAACATTCAAATAATTCTGAGAATTAAAAGGACCAGTTTTTCACAAGCCGCACATCATCCCAACATTCTGACACTGAAAAGGCATTTTCAGACAAATCGAGAGAAAATGAACTTTGTTTTCGTCTCAGCAACACTCTGCTGGCAGAGATGTTCAAAGTCACCGGTTATAAGGGCGTCACTTTGTGTTAAATCAGCCTCTTCACATCTCAGGTGTCATATATGCACGCTTGACAAACGTTAGTAGCACTAGTTAGCTAGCAAAGTTTGTGTTTAAGGCGTTGACAGTCCCCCGAGGCAACTTACCCTCACCTTAACCGTCACAGACGTGTGTGCAACAATCGCTGAAAAAGTTTGACGACTTTGCTCCAAAATAAGGTTTAAAAAGCGTTTTTCCTGACCTGTGCACTGACCTGACCTGCGCACAGCTGTAGGGTTAGCCTCCTTTGTGTTGCAACAATAGCAAACTGCAGCGTATCATCACGTGCCAAATCGACATTTTGCCTAAAATAGTACATAAGACACCCGAGATGAGAACAGGTTGGTTAAAAAGTTGTGGGGACATAAGGATGAAAAAAATGTTTTAATGCTTTTCAAAATTTTGGATTTTAGGTCAAGGGGTGGGGGGGGGTGGTTATGTGTTCACAGTAGTTCACTACAAATTACAGCAGTTCGGTAAAATTATTGCATAACGGTGCATCAAAAGAACGTAGCGTAGGCTGCTACAGAGTCGACAATACGAAAATACTGTTACACACAAGTAACAGTCATTCATCACATCCTCACCTGCAACACCGGGTCAATAATGAAGTAGCCCATTCACACCTGAAACCCTGTAACACTAACGAGTCACATGACATCGGGGAGGGAAATGGGCCCAATTTGGACATTTTCACTGATGTGTGATGTGTTATTTTGAGGGGACAGCAGATTTACACTGTTCTACAAGCTGCACACTCACTACTTTCTACTGGAGCAAAGGGTCATGTCTTCAGTGTTGAAACATGAAAAGATAGAATCAAATATTTACAAACATGTGAGGGGTGGACTCACTTTTGTGAGATACTGCACTTTTTTTGGACAAAGGCACATTTGTTTCTTCTATAGTTAAATTGCATTGTTTTCTCTAATGTGCAAATAAACCTTTTTGAAAACGTTTTTACTTGTTAGTTACAATTTATTTCTTTTTCAGAACAAAATCAGCCATATGGTGGAGACGTGGACTCTCTGCTGTAACAACAGTGTTTGCCATCAACCTTACTTATTACTGCAGTCTCATTTCAGCCAGGTAACTCCCCCACCTGAGTTGTGTTTCTGATTGTATCACAGTACGTTCTACAGTGTTTCCTACTGTCCTCCTGCCTGGGCTTGCCTGTTCTGTATCATATACTGACTATTTCAAACGCCACATTTCTCACTTCATCCTTACAATTATCCTCCCATCAATGGATTCTAACGCAGCCGATGTTTTGCCCTTCTGCTGTGCCTCACTGCCACATCACCATACAAAACACAATAAAACCACCGGGACTCTTGAACACACACAACGTGTCTCCTGTAAACTGTAACTGGTTGAAATCTTATCCATCAGTAATCAGGCTTCTCACATTCAGCTGAAGACATTTTAGTCTTATCAACTATGTACTACTCATGTTACGGCCTTGTCTCCAGGTATTTTAATAATGTTGTCATGCACAAACACAGGCTGCTGAAAAACTAAACTCCCATTCACTCTGTGAGGACAGCAAACACAGAGTCATTTCCCGCAAGTCTCCAGTCTGGACACACTCGCTTTGTCACAATTCCAGACTGCATACTCTGTTCTGAATGTGCTGTTGATAGACACTAATCTCCCATAATGCACAAAGGAAGCGTTTCAGCTGACTGTGGATCGTGGAAAAAGACCAGAGAAAAAAAACATTTAAATAAATAAATATATAAAACTAGAAAAACTTGATTTGTGAAGATCTTGTTGTGAATCGATACGTCAACATCCCGGTCCTTTGGGGTAGTATGAACCTTCAGAGCTGGCTCCTGCAGTTGTTGAAAGGATCCAAACAACGGTTCGTCAACTCTACGATGTGGTCCTGGCTCTGCTGCAGGCTTGGCCCATCCTCGTCTCCTGGATCCAGTTAAACCTCTTTCTGCTACAACAAGACGGTCAAAGAGGTCTACACCCTGCTCTCTGCAGCAGGCCTGCAGGAGGGTGGAATGCAGAGTGTGCGTAATATTCTCTAGAATAACCTTTCTGCTGACAGTCTGACGTGGACTTTAGATCCAAATCAAACCAGCGAGAGACGGCTAGATTCTAAATAAAATAAAATATACCCTACCTTTATGCGTCCCTCCAAAGCCACGCCCCCAAAACACTTAGGTAGATAGGCAGGTAGGCAGGACAAGATGTAATGATTAGCCATGCTTATTAAACCCTGTGGCAGCCACAGATGCTGGATTATTTTAATTTGTGTGTCAGAGCGTTTGATTTATTGATGGCTGTCGGGCTATAAGTTTGTCCTGCTGACAAGATTACTCCTGAAAAAGCTTGCCTAATTGTTCAAGTCAGAAACATCACTAACATGTTCCAACTGTAAAAAGACAAAAGTTACTCTGAATAAATGTTTAATGTTTCACTTTATGTCTGTTAACGTCAGTCAGTCTGTCCTCCACTTTGCTCCAGGCTGAAACAATCCTATTCCCCATAAACCCTGATCAGCTATTACATCTTGACCACCTGCTGGTCTCTCTTTTGCTGCCAAAACAGCCCTCATGCAGGCCTGGACTCCACTGTGTGAGCCCTGTGTGCCTGACACCAGCATCACTTTTTCACAGGTCAGCCTTCGCTCCCTACGTGCATCAGTGAGTCTTGGCTGTCCATGACCCTCTGACCAGTTAACCTATTTTCCTTCCTTGGTCCACCTCTGATAGGTACTGACCTCTGCAGACTGCTTTGGAGGTGATCTGACCCAGTTGTCAAGCCATCACAGTTTGTCTCTCAAATCCTTATGCTTGCTCATTTTTTCCTGCTTCTAACACATCAACTTTGAGGACACAATGTTCACCTGCTGCCTGATAGATCCCACCCACTGACAGGTACCATGGTAACCAGCGAATCAGTGTTTTTCACTTCAGTGGTCATAATGTTATGGCTCATAGCTGTAAATGCTTCCTTTAAGCAATATTATCAGGAAAAACTTCTTTATTCAAACTGTTTGCAGATGATACTCAATTATACCCATCGCTCAAGCCAGAGGAGGCAAGTCACTCAGCTAAACTTCAAGCTGCCTTCAGGATGTAAAAACTTGGATGAGATGTAATTTTTCTGATGTTAAACTCGAGCCTTTTCTCATCTCAGGGTGTCATATACAGATATATATATATATATATGTGAGAAAGGATAACAAACGTAGTTATTTGAAAGTTTGTGTTTCAGACGTTGACAGACCCCTGAAGCAACTTACCCCAACCTTAACCATCACATAAGTCATAAACCTAAGTCAGTAAATATATGCATGTTGACCGGCTAAACATACAGCTGTGCACATCAGCCTCACCACCTATGTGCTAGCAGGTAGGGTTAGCCTCCTCTGTGTTGCAACGCACTAGCAAACTGCAGCATTTCATACGGACGCTGAAGGGTACCTTCGGCGTCAAATAACTATGCTTTGTCACGCTGTCTCAAAGCATCGGTATTTCACGCACTGAGATGAGTGTTATAAACTCAGACAAAGTTATTGTACTTGGCCCCAAAGACCTCCAAAACATTATCTAAAGACACAGTTAACATAAACCAGTAGTCTGGTTCCTGCCAGAGTCTCTATGCTGACAAACATTAAGAGAACATTAATATGTTGTGAACGTGATGCTTCCTGGTGGATGTTGCTATGACCCACCTGTAACCAGGCGAGCGTACATCAGCCAGGTGTCTTCAAACTGGGCACAGTGCAGCAGGTGGTGTCCCTGCAGGAAGCCGTTGAGCGAGCAGAAGATGGCGGCGTATAGGACGATGGACAGTGGGACGGGTCGTCCTCTCGTCAAGAAGCTGTAGATAAAACTCCTAAAAAACAGACTCAGGTCAAATCTTTTTGGTTTTTTACACATTTCATGTTTATGTGGTTCTTTTTTTCAACATGGCTGCCGTTAACCGTTGGTCACCACTTTCAAAATACTTGGTGTCCTGTAACCATTAAACTCTCTATGTGTGTACCAGGCAAGGATATTCTCGTTAATGAAATAACGAAAACTAGATGTGAAAAACATTGTCGTTAACTGAAATAAAAATAAAAACGAGGCTTTACAAAAAAACGATGACTAAAACTGTGTTGTAGGTTTGCAAAACTAACTCAAATGAAACCGTAAATGTCCTTAGTTTTTGTTTATTTATTTCATAGGACCTAAATAAGCTTACAGAACTGATGTTGCGAGGCAGATGGTTTGGCTGGACCGGCAGTTCAGCTGTGCTGTGATTCGTTGATATCATTATATTTACTGCATGTCAGCTAGTGTGTGTTTTATGGGCTCATTGATATCTCAGCCAACCTGTCTCTTTGTGCTTCACGTTGTTTTAACACCTATTTTTTGATTAATATAACTTCTTTCCAGTCAGACTTGCCTTCAGGGTGCTAGGGACCTGTTGTTTGTGGCTCCAAAGGGGGGCCTCCACTATCTTCCAATTTCTCAGCTGTACATCAATTGTATTTCACCTCCATTTATTGTATTTCACCTGTTTAACCAAGAATGATAGAGCCAGAGGCTGATGTAATGAATTTCTTGGGACCACTGGGTAGGAGGATTAGGGGAGTTTGCTCTTAAAGTTTTCTGTACACGCCGACCTTTTATTAACAGAGAATGATTAGCTGAAGGTGAAAACAAATGCGTACTTCATGACAGTAATAAGATCACTTAGTTACATTCCACGCCTGGTAAACTGCTTCTGTTTCCTCAGACAGCAGATTTAATCTTCCTGAACCTGGTTTTTGGTCCATGGTTACATTCCTGTGAGCTGCTGGAGCTGATCTGATGATTATCTCTGTGCAAAAGTTGAAAACATGCTGCTAAACAACTCTAACAACTCAGTGTTAGAGAGCAGAATAGCACAAAAGTTTTGTGTTGTATTCGACTGTCTGTCAGTTTGATACTCTGGTACACTGTACAGTTAAAACAACAGCACTGTCCTACCCAAGATTCATTAAGAAGGACCCCAAAGGTGGTATGTCAAAATATTAGAATATTAGAATTAAGAATGTATAATACAGAAATGTGGACCTGAGAAGAGCCTTTAATGTCTCAGCCTGGTTCGGTCATGGGGAAGACTTCCGACTTCACAGTTTCACACTCAGTGAGATATGGATATTATTATTTCCATCAGCTGTTATCATCAAGGTTAAAACAAAACAGGCCTGAAATATTTCACTTTATGTGTAATGAAAGTTTCACTTTTTGACTTAAATTACGTTTTTCTTTCGTTTACTTTTTCAGGATCTTCAACTTTTCTGAGATGCACTTCAACCAAAGGAACTAAACCCAGGAACTAGGAACCTTTGGAGGAACTCACAGGCTGTGTTCGAAGGAAAGGCAGCTGCCTCAGAAGGCGCCACGTTCAAGTGAAGGCAGCTCTGTTTACATTAGTTTCGAACAGCCTTCTAGGGCAGCGCTTACGGCAACATGTGACATCAGCACGCCGTCTTGCGTCTCTTCTGGCTGTCGGAAGAGACGCTAGCCTTAGCATCAGCTAACTAGCTATTGAAAAGCCAAACGGCTAACAGACGCCTCAGAAATCAGACTGAACAAACTTCGTTCGAGCCGTTTGAAAAGAGCACTCGATGCCTCGCTGTCCTGTTAGACACCTGCTGAGACGGCAGTTTAGCCCGTTTCCAACACAGCCACTGCGTTTCCACTGGAGGGACCAGAGTCTAATTTTAGTTCTAGGGTTTTACCCCCCAAAAAGTCCCTGCTCAGGGGCGTAGTACGTAGTAGAGGCTACTGGCTTAACTGGAGAGTGTCGGCTGTTTTTCTATGACTGCTCGTCTCTTTTCCACCGTTGTTTTCAAACCAATAAATCCCAACCAACAGTCAGAGAGTCTCGCCGACGTCGCCTGAGATCGAACGTCGGCATTAAATGTGTTGCTGGGAAACAGCAGCTGGCGTGCAGCGGTGTGTTTACAGCGAACAGCTGATGGAGTTAGGCTAAATACCGGGTCCTGAGTTGTTTGAAGCCTCCTCCTCTCCAAAACAAGCAGAGCAGCTGATTACAGCAGGTAATGAAGCTCGTTAAACATCCCGTTCCTCCGGCGCTCAGGCGACACAGACGTGATGCTGCAGCTGTCGGCTGGAATTTTTTAATAACCTTCCAAACTTTCGGCACTTTCTTTTTGTGTTGTTTTCTCTGTGCTGGAGTTATTTTAGGGTTTTATCCAGTTTGTTATTAAAGGGGCTTTCACACCTGCCTCGTTTGGTCTGGACTTTTCAGTTTGGTCCGAACCATAATTGCAGGTGTGAAAGCTCCTGAACCACGGTTTGGTTTGTTTCTGGTGTGAAAGCATTTTTTGGATGGTTCGGACTTTCAAACCATTCACAGGAAGTTCGGCGTTTGCCATACAAACCGGAAACAGACAAATGAAAAATGAAAGTCCCCTAAATGTGTAACGAACTTTATCGTGTGTCTTTATACTCCCACACATCGCTTTGTACGGCGAACAGGTCTACAGCCTACGTCAGCTGGTTAATTAGTCTAATCTTCAGTGTGTGATGTGTGGACCTGGCTTTTTCATGCTTTGTGTCTTTCAGTTGAGTTGAGTTTGCTTCAGTGTGGATTTCTGCCGCTTAATTAAACTCTAACTTATCTTTTCACTCTACATTGTGTGGCCTATAAAGCCCTGGTGGGGCCCCTGACCTGTGGAAGTAGTGCAGCATGAAGCAGCAGAGCAGCAGCGTCCTCACGGTACCGTGGCCGCCGCTCCCCGGAGCCTCGGTGAGGAGCAGCAGTAGCAGCGGCACCAGGAAGGCCGGGACCTCCTGCAGGAACCAGGCCACTCTGGCCGGACAGCAGCGATTCTTGGCCGGCGTGTAGCGGCCGTACGGCGTTGGGTTCCGCCTCTGGTGCAGCACGAAGACCAAGCCCCCGATGATCAGAGTCCAGCTCAGGGAAGAAACAGCGGAGTCCCAACACTCCATCAGGCCGCTGCTGCTAGGCGCCACTCGGCTTTGCTCGGAGACTGAAGACAGAAAACACACAGAGTAAGTATCTCAGATCTAAAACAAGCAGATCTCGGAGTTTTGTGGCGGAAATCTTATTGGTTATTGGTCAAAGAGTCAAAAACAAAACAAAGCTTCTTGTCCAGGTACAAGGCTCCGGCAGGTTCATGGTGGTCTGCAGAGGACGGACAGCTGTAAATCAGTTCATAAGGCCTCTGTGAGTATATTGTGTACACTGCCTCCCTCCCCCTCTCTCTCTCTCTCTCTCTCCCCCTCTCTCTCTCTGCCGCCCACCCTGAGCCATGGTTCTGCTCGAGGTTTCTGCCTCTTAAAAGGAAGTTTTTCCTTGCCTCTGTCTCCTAGTGCTGCTCTTGGTGGGAACTGTTGGGCTTCTGTAAATATCATCACAGAGTACGGTCTAGACCTGCTCTTTTATGAAAAGCGCTGTGAGATAACTGTTGTTGTGATTTGGCGCTATATAAATAAAATTGAATTGATTGAAAAAGTCACCAATAACCAGGAATGTTGTAACACTTGCTAGAAAAGTCTGTCCAGTTAATAAAATTATATCTGATTAAATTTAATTATATCGATAGGTGAACTGTTTATGGAAATATATATGACAGATATCCACACATCCATCTAACCTTCAACCAACCATCCATCGTGAGTCGATAAATAGATGGATTGATATTTGTAGATTATCTCTTTCCATCCATGATAATATCTCTCATATAAGGAAAGAGAGACGTCTTTCCATCTAACTCCTGGTCTATCATGCGTGGACCAATGGATAGATGGATTATATCCACACATCAAAATATAAATAAACATTGACACTGACGCTCTGGTGAGTTTGTCTTTAAGCCTGATTAACAGTTGCTAGTAGTTGGTCAAGTGTTTCAAAACTGTAGTATGTTTTAGGCCAACAAAATAGTTATTAAGGTAATACATTGGATTCAGTGACTTACACACACACACAGCACAGTAATCAAAGAATAAGTAGGCCTATCATACAGCAATTTACTTTTATGCCGCAAAAACACTTTTCTCTGTGTGTCTTGACAAAAATAAGTCCAATCTGTCGAGAAACCGTGCTGGATCTTCGATAAACTGACCTGAAACACAATCTGCTCGACCCCGTGCCACTTGGTAAAATGTCCGTGTTACATCTTAACCCGTGTTAGGTTGCGCCCGGCGCTCCCCTACTGTCTGGATTCACAGCGCAAGGTGCACATGAATAAATGTGGCATCAGTTGGGCAGAGTTGATTTGCGCTGAGTCGAAAACTTTCTCTTGCGCCGCCCCTGACAGTTCACACCCTAAGCGCCTATATCGCCTAGCCTACGCCACGGGCCGGTGTTGTGCCGAATTCTGCACGCCTGGAATGCCTGGAGAATTTCATGCACCACGCAGGTGGTAACGCTCATTTATGCTGAGAACACAGAGAAATGCAAACCTCGGCAGGTAGCCTTCATCATCTGTTCTATCGAATTATGCATCTATGGAGTGCCAAATGTAAAATTTCAGATAAAATTCTATAGCTGATACATTTTGATTATTTAGCTCACTTTTCTCACATTTAAGACAGAAATTCATGATAAACAAGATCTTAAATGCAATTGTCAACAATATGTTTATAAAGTTAAATAAATGGGTCGAGAGCTTTGCCTTTATGGCTCAGCTCTCTTTTCGTCACAACCGCCCCCACTACGATTCTCCAGCCAATCTCCTGCTCCAATCTCCCCTCACTCGTGAACAAGACCCCGAGATACCTGAACTCCTTCACTTGGGGTAAGGACTCATTCCCTACCTGGAGATGGCACTCGACTGGTTTCCTGCTGAGAACCATGGCACAGATTTAGAGGCGCTAATCCTCAACCCAACTGCTTCACACTGCGAACCGATCCTGTGAGAGCTGAAGGTCACGGACCGACGATGCCATCAGGACCACATCATCTGCAAAAAGCAGTGACGAGATCCCAAGCCCCCCGAACTGCAACCCCTCCTCACCACGACTACGCCTCGATATCCTGTCCTTGAATATCACAAACAGGATTGGTGACAAAGCTCAGCCCTGGCGAGGGCCAACCCTCACCTGGAAAGAGTCCGACTTACTGCCGAGTACTCGACACAGCTCTCGCTTTGGATGTACAGGGATTGGATAGCCCTGAGAAGGGCCCCCCTCACCCCATACTCCCGCAGCACCTCCCACAGTATCTCCCGAGGGACCCGGTCATACGTCTTCTCCAGATCTACAAAGCACATGTAGACTGGATGGGCATACTCCCAAGCCCACTCCAGGATCCTTGTGAGAGTAAAGAGCTGGTCAGTTGTTCCACGACCGGGACGAAAACCACATTGTTCCTCTTCAAACTGAGGTTCGACTATCGGCCGAACCCTCCGTTCCAGCACCCTGGAGTAGACTTTAGGCTGAGTGTGATACCCCTGTAATTGGCACACACTGTCTGGTCCCCCTTTTTTAACAGGGGAACCACCACCCCAGTCTGCCACTCCTTGGGCACTGTACCCGACTTCCACGCAATGTTAAAGAGACGTGTCATCCAAGACAGCCCCTCCACACCCAAAGCTTTTAGCATTTCTGGGCGGATCTCATCAATCCCTGGGGCTTTGCCACTGTGGAGTTGTTTGACTACCTCAGTGACTTCCTCCAGGGAAATTGACGAGAAACCCCCATCAGCCAGATGAGCTGGAGCAAGCAGGGAATGCTGTGACCCATGGCGATACCAAATCGAAGGTCTTCCAAACCCTGTCAGCATGGACAACAAAGATGAATATGTGCGTAAAGCAATACTTTACCATGTCCTCATTCAACGACAGAGCTGCTATGATCAGTTAGTCGAGGGTTTGAGCACTATGGGGTAGGTTTAGACTTAAATGTAATTGTAATTGTATTTTAGAGTTCAACAGATGGGAATTGCATGTGCATGTTTTTTAATCATACTTGAAGACTGTTCAGTCCTATTCATAGTTTTCAGTCACTTGACATGTGCGGTGACCTGGAGGGCAAATCAACAGACCAACAAAGAAAAAGACACATATGAACACAAACTGCAAGTGTTGGGCATATCTGATCCACGTTACAGCATCCGCAGCCGCATTTCTACTGTTAAAAACCGGCAGGTCCCTGCTGCCGCTCCACTGCGGTAATGTTTTACCTTCTAGGGTATCCCTCACCTAACACAGCCCAGGCTCGTCTCCTCGATTAGTAAATCCGAAAACACAACAACCATCCAGCATTTTGGCAACGCAAAAAGTAACAAACTCAAAGTAACAGTGTACCACTTGTATATTGGTTGGCTGGCAGTGGAAAATAACGTCTTTTTGCCCTCCAACAGCGTTTTCATTGAAACGTGATGTTACTTGAAAACTGTGAAATTCAATAAGCCAATATGAGCTTATTGCATTTAAATCGGTAGCTGTGTTCATAACATCTGATATATGTTGATTAAAAAAGGAATAGAGAGAGGGGTCCCTCACTCATGTCATGAGTGTTGCATAGTTTGCCCACCAGAGGGCGCTATGAAGCTCCCCTGTTACATTTACATTACATTTATTCATTTAGCTGACGCTTTTATCCAAAGCGACTTACAATTGCTATACATGTCAGAGGTCACACGCCTCTGGAGCAACGAGGGGTTAAGGGATTGAACCCAGGTCTCTCACACCAAAGGCAGACATCTTATCCATTGCGCCATCACCACCTCTGTTAACTGTTAGCAATACTGCTGCAAAACAAAATAAAACAATCAGCTGAGCAGAGTCTACTGGAGCATGCAGAATGAACACAGTGTTCCTGGTGGGTTAATCATTTGTCATGTTAAATACATGACTACAGGGCTGTTTTTTTTATCATGTATCACTTCTCCTCTCCTGAAAACCGTCATGACCAGGCTTGCTAACCATCCCGTTTCTCGTTGCCCTCTCCTGTTTCCTCCCGGGTCACCGCAGTATGTTTAGTGTTACATTACTTGAGTGGTGGAGGCTACACTGCTGACAAACTGGATGGTAGACACTGTAGATGGTAGTGGAGAAATGGTTTCTTGAAGCTTTGGATAGAATTAAAGAGTGCTGGTAAAGGGATAAACTAGATGTTAGTATGCTACATTGAAAGTAGCCTAGTAATGGCAGATTATGTGTAAGGTAAAATACATGCTTATTCTCTGCATTACAGATTGCTTAAAAAGGTGCTTCTTACATAACAGATACAGAACAGTGCAGTTTGTCCAAATTAGTTTCAAAATATATGTTTATAAATCTCTTTTTTACTTTAATATCAAAAATACCCCAAAAATCCATATTGGTAGGGCTCTAGTCTTGTTTTGTCCACAGCCTAAACTTGGGAGTCATAGAGGAGTAAAGAAACACACAAAATATTCCTGTTTTAAGAAGCTGAAATTTAGATTTTTCTTTTTTATGCAAACTGATTATCAAACTAATTGGTGATTAATTTGCTTGACAACTTATAGATATAGCTTCATCGATTAATTACACATAATTGCAACAGGTACAGTGGTATTTAGGTGTTACAGCTGACTTAAAACTGTGGATAAAATTTTTAATAAATTATTAATTTATATTTTTTTCTAATTAGTTGGGCTACCTGTCAATCTTTCACAAACCCCCTGGCAACTGCAGAAGTACCTCCTGGGGTACTTTTGGTTGGTAACCACTGCTTTAATGCATACCAAACCCTGCCTCTTGGTTTACCCCTCAATCCCCAAGTATTCCATAAACTATGTTGTTCTTAGTATATTTACCTAGACAAAACTTCAAAATTGTTCAAGTATTATTGTATGTTTTTGTCAGCAAACGTTGTATCACTTGGAGTCACTAGAAACTCCAGGATAGTGTAATTTTTTAAAATCTAAATAAATTAGATTGTATCTGTGGCGTAACTCCCTGAAAAGATCTACCTACCTTTCAAGATCTTGTTTTTCCCCCCAAGTGTGTTTTCAAAAAGTTTAGGCCTAAAGTGTCTTTCCAGATATATCCAAAAT